TGTGGGATCTTCCCGGACCCGGGCACGAACCCGTGTCCCCTGCATCGACAGGTGGACTCTCAACCACTACGCCACCAGGGAAGCCCTCACAGAGATTTTTAATTGGTCCATCTGATTCTTAAAATGACTTGCCCAGGCTGGAGCCACGAAAATGCAAGCTGGGTGGTCAGCTGACTTGAGAAAAGGATGCATGAAGGAAGGGAATGGGCATTACCCGGAACAGGTCCAAAAGGGTCTCTGTGAAGCCCACTGTAGGCACAGCCACAGCTACTGCATAGGAGAAAGCAAATATGATTCCAGTGGAACTGCCAAGCTCCAGACCCAGGCTGTGCAAGACAAGGAAGTAGGTACCACCTGAGAGGAGAGGAAAGAAGAGTCAATCGGTCTCACCAACTCCCAACAGGACCGGGGGCCCTAAGAGGTCATGGAGTCACAACAGACTCACCAGCCTTGACTTTGCCATTGGTGGAGACGGCTGAGATAGACAGGCTGGTGATAGTAGTGACTGAAGCCGAGAGCAAGGTAACGAGCGATCTGAGCCCTGGAGTGGGATGGGAATGGGGCTCCTTTAATTCACTGAGGCCGCGTCCCAAATCCCTTCCTACTGTCTAGCAGAGTGCTGAGCCCACACCTATGCCGGCCTGAGCAGTGATCCAAGGCAGCTGCAGGTAGAGGATGATGCCCCTGATCATCAGGGAGGGAGGAGTCAAGGTCACCCTCAGCCCTTTCCTCTCACCCTCAGAGGGACCCTTGAGACTGTCCTCTGGAGCGAAGTTCTCTTTCCCTGCTTCCATCCCGAACCTTTGGGAACCCTAAGCACCAATCCGTTACCATGACTCCCATGACCCAGATAAAGCCAATGGGGCCTTGCCAGGCCTGGCCCCCGAATTCTCCACATCATTTTTGGGGAGTGTGGCTCCACATGGGGCTCCTAAGCAGAGGTGGAAGTAATACTGTCCCCTGGCTGAGATGCCAAGACCCTGCCCCAGTCAGCAGGTCAGCAACAAGAAGGACGGCCAACAGACCTGGAGGTGCTATGGGGGGAGGTCAGTCATAACGCATTTAATGGAGGGTGGATGATTGCACAGAAGAGCAGGTTTCATCCAACCTTCGGGGATTCGCTGTGGGGTATGGGTCCTGCCATGGTGGAGCCGAGCAGAGCCTCCAGAGACGTGTGGCTGTGGTGGAGCTGTCCCAGGACCATGGGGTTGGCAGAGAACGCAGATCAGGGTCCAGTGTCCTTGTCCTTGTTGGCAGAGGGAGGGCAGAGGCTGACCTGGGGTTTGTCTCTGCCAGATCGTGGTTCCTCCTCTTCCTGGTGGGGGCCCAAGGTGTGGGCCACCTTGTCTTGCAAAGGGGAGGCCATAAGAGGATCCACACAGAGGCTGGTCACTATTGCCCATTTCACAAGCCAGGACAACCATGGGCTGCCTTTCTGTTTACCCATTTGGAGGAGTGCAGCCCCTGGGTTGGGTTTGGCTCTCTCACCACCAATTCCATGTTGGCACAGGGAGGAAACCCCTCGCTACGGGTGGGTCACCCATGATCGGTAGCCCTGACCCATGCCCCTTCACCTCCCCCACTCCTCTGCCCTTGTTGGACCAGATGGATGGGTTATATTTGAGTTTCACATCAGGATTGTTCGCTCCAGGGTCCCAGCTTTATCATGCACAGAAAAATCAACAAAGGCCAGGACTGACCCCAAACACACGCTTCACTCTTTCTCCCCACTTTCCTGCAGGTGTGCAGAGTCCAGACTTTCTTCACGCACCCCCTCCAGCCCAGTCCAGTGAAGGAAGCCTTTCTGGCCTGGCTCACTCCACCAGATCCCCATATCCTACTTGGCTTCTGAATTTGCCTCGCTCAGCACCAGGGCATGACCTACAAGTGGAAGGGGAGAGGAGGTCATCTCAGGTCAGGCCCAGGGAATTGGGTGTCAGAGTTTGGGCACCTGGAGACCAGCCCCCAGCCTGCCAGCACTGCCTATAATTAGCTGGGTTCGGTCAGGGACGGGGCCCCGGGGGCGCGTTCCCTCTGCCACACTGTCAGGAGTAGAGCAGGCTCAAGTGAGAGGGCAAGCAGAACGCTGGTGTCTTAGGAGGGTGACTACTGGCATGGGGGCAAGACGGGCAGGGTACAGTTCCGGGTACTGGATGTTTACACATAGATCTTGCGTGCTTTGCTGCACCTGGGGAACCTCAGAGTCGCGCGGTGTGGCCTACACGCTCGAGCCCTGGGATGGGGGGAGGGGGTTGAAGTAGAAAGAGGGACTGACATGTCGCCGGACTGGAGGCAGGGCTTCCTCTGGCCTCTGTGGGCCCAGCTCTTACCCTCTCTTCTCTTTCCTCTGCTTACCTGCAGCAATCCAGTGAGCTTGGGCCATGAGCGTCTCAGACTCGGCACATCGTCCCTCAGACCCTGAACAAGTCTCTCTTCCAGTCCAGAAGGACAGCCTTGGCCTCCCTTTGCCCACCAGGAGAACCCCCTCCTGGCCTCCGTCCCCAGACCAGGATCCTGGTTTGCCCCCCTTTCCTCTGGAAGAGCCTGGCCCCAGGCCCATGGCCCCGGGGAGCCTTTTCTCTCCAGCCTTGTCCCTAGAGAAAGAAGAGGAGGAGGAAGAGGATGAGGACGGAGAAGACGCAGAGGAGCCCGAGGAGCTGCGCAGCGAGGCGCATCCCAGCCAGTTTTTTGCGGAGGCACAGCGGCTGCGAGAGCAGAGGTTGTTGCTGGATGAAGACGTGTCAGTCGGGGGGCGAGTATACGGGGTGCATCGGGTGATCTTGGCCGCAGTCAGCAGCCTCTTCAGAGGCAGGTTGCTGGGCAGCAGAGGTCTGCAATGCCCCCTCAGCCTGGATGTAACCCCCGGGGCCTGGGAGGCCATGCTGACCTTTGCCTATGAGGGGGTGCTGGGACCCGCCCCACGGGAGGATGTGCTGGTCGCGGCTGAAGCCCTGGGCGCACCCCGGGTGAAGGCTGCGGCCCAGTGGGGACGCGAGGGGGCTGGAAGCACCCGGGAAGATGAAAAGCAGCCCAGCCAGGCAGAGGAACTGAGAGAGAACCTGCGCACCATGGAGCTCCTGTACCAAGAAGGCATCGGGTGTGACCTGGAGCTGGAGGCAGGCGGCTGCCGGCTGCGGGGTGAGGGTCTGTGGGGCATTACATTAATGCAGGCGCATATGCCACCTGAAATGGTGTGTGCAAGCAGCGGGTGGTTCAGTCCCTACCATAGTGGTTTTGATCCCTGCTGCAGTCAGAATTTCCCCAGGGTGACCTTTGGCACCTCTCCTGACCCACTGAGAATGGAGCATGCGCAGTTGAGTTGTTTTCTTAAGAGCACTGACAGATTTATGCTGTGGCTTTCCCTGTGCCCAGAAACAAGAAATTTACAGTCAGCTGGCTGGAGCTAAGGGTATATAGTCCATGCCAGTAGAACAAGCAGGAGGTGATTGACTCAAACAAAGATTAACCAAAGGCCCTTCTTGGCATCTTCTAATTAGGACACAGGAAAAGCCAGAGGAACACAGTGGAAAAATTCAGTGTGTCCTTTCCCGTAAGTGAGCTTGACACCATGGCAGACGTGGACCCTACAGCTAGTGAGCAAGGTCTGGTACTGTTTGGCCAGAATCTTAAGGCTACCAGTTCATGGCACTTTGAAGTTAACTCTGCTCATCACCAGGAAAGCTGAAGAGGGTTGAATAAGTTGAGATTTATTCAGATTCTACTAACATTTAGTGAGGTACTGGGTACCAGGAATTTCTTTTACACATGCCATCTCTTTTCATCTCACTGAAAACTAGTGAGTTAGATATCATTATCCCTGGGTGCAGATAAAGAATATTAAATTCAGAGATGTTAACAGGTGAAAACCAGGATACAGGCCCACATCCACTAACCCAGTCTGCTCTCACTAGGCCATGCATTGCCTTCTATGCAGTCAAGTCAAAGACATATAGCACCTGGCAAATGGAGTCAGAGTGCAGACACATAAAAGTTTAACATTAAAAGGGATTTGTTTAGATATTATCTAGTTCAGCTCTTACACTTTATTGATAAGGAAATCAGTCTTTAAGACAAGTCCAAAGTCACATAGCTACTGCTCATTGGAGGAATGACTGGCACCCAAAGTGCTTCTGGGACTCCCCAAAGGAAAAGGATCCTATCTTAGTCAGCTTGGGCTGCTATAACAAAAATACCACAGACTGGGTGGTTTAACAATAGAAATTTATTTCTCATGGCTCTGGAGGCTGCATCAGGGTGTCAGCAAGGTCAGGTTCTGGTTAGGGCCCTCCTTCTGGTTTGTAGATGACCACCTTCTCACTGTATCTTCACACAGCAGAGAGAGAGGGAGATCATCTCTCTCATATCTCCTCTTATAAGGGCACTAATCCCATTCATGAGGGTTTCTACTCTCATACATAATTACCTCCCAAAGGCCCCACCTACAGATACCATCACGTTGGAGATCAGGGCTTCAACATATGAATTTGGTGGGGGCGGGGAACACAAACACTCAGTCCATAACAGACTTCTAAAGTGTTTGTTATCATTTCCAATAGCACTAGATGCAGGGGGAATTTAAAATTTCAGTTATAAAATTCTCACGAGGGTTTGGAATTTAAACATCCTTGTATTCAATATCACTGCTTTCACTTCCTTTAAGAAACATTCCAACTTAGTGGTGGAAACCTGTCACTTAAAATTCTAAGGAATAATGATGAGTGAGAAGGGGCACAAAATACAAGTGGTTGTGAATCCTTTGTCAGTGGCTCTGAGCTATAGGCTGATTGATGGTATGGAAGATGAGATGGCTTACCTGCTTTACGGAATGCAGATTTTCTCAGGCAATATGGAAGCTGTCACTAATGTTTACTGCTTGGGAAGCACCAAGCTACTACCTACTGCTCAAAAAGACAGTGGAAAGCCACTCCGATATCACCTGCCCTTTGAGAGAGGTGAACATGCTGCAACTGATCAAAGCAGCCTGAGGTTCATAAGCCTCACTGGGAGCTTGGGTCTGTGTGACCTGCCTGAGAGGACTTCTAGCAGCATTTCCCCTCTTTTTTTAAAAATAATTAATTAATCAATTAATTTATGTTTGGCTGTGTTGGGTCTTCGTTGCTGTGCGCAGGCTTTCTCTAGTTGCAGCGGGTGGGGCTACTCTTTGTTGTGGCGCGGGGGCTTCTCATTGCGGTGGCTTCTCGTGTTGTGGAGCACGGGCTCTAGGTGCACGGGCTTCAGTAGTTGTGGCATGCGGGCTCAGTAGTTGTGGTGCATGGGCTTAGTTGCTCCGTGGCATGTGGGATCTTCCTGGACCAGGGGTCGAACCCGTGTCTCCTGCATTGGCAGGCGGATTATTAACTACTGTGCCACCAGGGAAGTCCTCCTCTCTTTTCTGTTATGAAGCATTTCAAACATAGCAAAGAAAAGAGAATATTAAGATGAACACTCAAACACCCATCACCCAGACTTAACAATTAACATTTTACTATATTTGTTTCATTTCTTTATTTATTTTTTGCTGAAGTTTAAAGTAAATCTCAGACATTTCACTCACAAATACTTGGGTATGTGTCTCTCTAAAAGAGGACATTTTCTCATGTAACCACAATTTATCATATCTAACAAAATTAACAATGATTTCTTAATATCGCATAGTCCACATTGAAATTTTCCCACTTGTCCAAAAATGTGTCTTTTAGAGCTGCTCTGTTCAACCCAGGAGCCAATCGAGGTTTGCACTGAACTCAGATATATGTCTCTTAAGCTTCCTTTACTCTCGTACAGTTCTCTCTCCCTTTTTTATGACTTATTGAAGAAACAAGATTAGTTGTCCTATAGAGTGCTCCATGTTCTAGATTTGTAAGCGTTTTCCCTCATGGTTTTGTTTAACTCATTCTTTCAGCCTCTCAGTTTCCTATAAACTTGAATTTAGATCTGAAGGTTTGATTAGATTTCGGTTAAATATTTTGGTAAGGATACTCCATACTTGACGCCAACTGCCTCAAATTGAGTTACATTAGGGAGCATATAAGGTCTAGTTATCTTATTTTATTTTTTTTGTGGTACACGGGCCCCTCACCGCTGTGGCCTCTCCCGCTGCAGAGCACAGGCTCCGGACGCGCAGGCCCAGCAGCCATGGCCCACGGGCCCAGCCGCTCCGCGGCATGCAGGATCCTCCCGGACCAGGGCACGAACCCGTGTCCCCTGCATTAGCAGGCAGACTCTCAACCACTGTGCCACCAGGGAAGCCCAGGTCTAGTTATTTAATAGCATTTTTGAATAGGATATTTTCAGAGTCACGAGGGCCATGCAGATAAGCAGGGAACTGATACACAAGTATGCTCACTGCAGCCTGACATCAGTTACAGTGATCTGCCCAGACAGCCCCTGCATGGAGATAGAAAATAAATTACTGCCTTTCACTAGGACTCAGTTTCCATATCTTAAAAGGAGCAATTGAAGCAGGTGATTTTGAAGGCTTCCAGTTTACAGGCCCTAAATCTTGGGTAAGAGGAGATGGCAGTTAGATGAGTGTGGCTCACAACCATTCCTGAGTGTGGTACCACTTTCTGAGAAAAATCTGACTAGCAGAATGGCTGATGTCAGTGGCTCTTATAACTGTAGAGGAAAGAACTTTATTCTGTGCACAATATAGAAAGACCTATATAAGTTGCACATCGGTCTTTGCAGTTTATGTTGTACCCCCTCTTAGCAAGTGTTCTCTGTAGCATCTTCACTTGATTGATCAAGACCCTTTCTCTAATTGGCCTGCATCAAGAAGACTAAAGCAATGTTTTTCAAAGTGTCTTCAGGCCACTAACATGAGAATCATGCAGGGTGCTTGAATATGTTAAAACACAAATTCCTAGGGTCTGCGTCTAGAGCTACTGAATCAGAATCTCTGGAGGTGGGTCCGTGAAACCCTCACTGTAACAAGCACCCCACGTGGTTCTGGTGCATATACCGCAGTTTGGCCTGTGGTCTTGGGTGGTTGGCCCAAAGTTGGGGCTGTGAAGACAGGGGAGTGCCTTGCAGTTTGCAACACTCTGGGTCCCCCTCTGCTTCTCCCTCTTGCAGTGCACCGAGCAGCCCTCGCCTGTGGCAGTGAGTTCTTTGGGGCCATGCTCCTGAGCGGGATGAGGGAATCCCAGGGCACAGAGGTGTCTCTGCATACCATCTCTGCCCAGGACCTGCGACTCCTTGTCTCCTTTGCCTACTCTGGGGTTGTGCGGGCAAGGTGGCCGGGACTGCTGAGAGCCACCCAGGCTGCTCTGCGGTACCAGAGCTCTTCCTGCCTGGCTCTGTGCCAGAGAGCCTTGGCACAAGGCCTCAACCCTGCCCGTTGCCTGGCCCTGATCCCCATGGCTGAAGCCCCTGGGCTGGAGAGGCTCTGGAGCAAAGCCCGTCACTACCTCCTCACCCACCTGCCTGCTGTGGCTTTGTGCTCCACTTTCCCGTCCTTACCGGTTGCCTGCCTGGCTGAGCTCCTGGACAGCGATGAGCTACACTTGCAGGAGGAGTTCGAGGCCTTTGCGGCTGCACTGCGTTGGCTAGCTGCCAACCCTGACACCCAGGAGTCAGAGGCCAAGGCCCTGCTTCGATGCGTCCGCTTTGGCCGTATGTCCACCAGGGAGCTGCGGAGGGTATGGGCGGCCGGGCTGCCTCCACCCTTGAGCCCGGACTTGCTGCGTCAGCTGATGGTGGAGGCTGAGGTTCCAGGACAAGAGAGGCGGAGGGAGCCTGACCAGGCACTAGTAGTGATTGGCGGGGACGGGCTCAGATCAGACATGGCCACGAGACAGCCGTCCCGAGGAGTGTGGTGGGCCCGGGCCTTTCGCTGCGGCGTAGGACTGGTTCGAACTGTGGAGTGGGGACGGCTGCCTGCCCTGCCTGCCCCCGGGCGCTTTCGGCACGGGGCTGCGAGCCTAGCCGGAAGTGAGCTCTACGTGTGTGGCGGACAGGATTTCTACGGCCACTCTAACACCCTGGCTTCGACTCTCAGGTATGGCCCCCTGAGAGCGGCCGGTCCCAAGGTGGGCAGCTGCGGGAGGTTGGCAGCCCAGCCAACCGCAGACTCCCAGGGTCACTCTTCCCATCTCTTGTCCCACTGTGTCCAGGTGGGACCCCAGGCAAGAGGACTGGGAGGAGATGGCACCTTTGTGCCAGGCTCGGAGCTTTTTCCCCCTGGTGGTGCTGGATGGACTGCTTTATGCCCTGGGTGGACGAGACAGTGGTGTTGCCCTCAGCTCTGTGGAGACTTATAGCCCCAAGCTCAATATCTGGAGGTGAGCAGGGAAGGGGGTGTTTCAGGCATCAGGGAGAGGCTAGGAAGAGGAGTCTTGGAAGAGGAGAACGGAAGATGACTGTTGCCTGATCACGTGCCCTGTTCTCCCACAGGCCGGCACCTGCCCTTCCAGCACCACGCTTTGCCCACGCAGCTGCTGTTTTGGAGGGCCAGCTGTACGTGAGCGGTGGCTGCAGCGGGACTGGCCAGTACCTGGCCTCGTTGCTGCACTATGACCCCAAACTTGAGAAGCCGGGGACACTTCTGAGCCCTATGGGGGTACCTCGGGCTGGCCACGTCATGGCTGCTCTGGGTGGGCGGCTGTATGTAGTGGGTGGGCTAGGTGAGACTGGGGACCTGCTGAGCTTTGAGGCCTATGAACCAAGGACCGATAGCTGGACTCACCTGACCCCCCTGCCCTCGCCCCATGTCGGGGCTGCAGGCGCTGTGCTGCAGGGGGAGCTACTGGTGATGGGGGGCTACAGCCACCGTACTTATGCCCCCTCCCACCTTATCCACGCCTTCTGTCCTGGCCTGGGCCGATGGCTGTGCCTGGGAACTCTGCCGAGGCCTCGGGCTGAGATGCCTGCCTGCATCCTGACACTGCCCACTGTGCAGCAAATAGCTTTGGTTCCCACACAACACCAAACTAAACCTGCCGGGTGAAGGGGGAGTGGCAGTGGATGGCGTGAGGAAGGGATAAGAAACATTTTGAGAGGATAGAAATGATGGGGGCAGGGATAAAGAGAAGGCTTTATTCATGATCATATTTCATTCTAGCACAGTGCTTTACAACTCACACAGCGCTTTTGTATGTATGATCTGCATTGAGGAGAAGGTGGTTCTGGAATTCCTAGGGAAAGAGCGTTGGGGAAGGAGAGGCAGCTGAATACCTAGGTAAGGAGAGGAGACCCAGGGGCAACTATACAAGGTTTAGATTCTTGGTGGGGAAAGTGCATCTGGCTGGGCAGACAGTCAAGAAGCGTCAATAGCCAAGGTGTAGGGGCCATGAGAGGTCAGTTGGGAAAATGATATTCTGATCAATGGACGAAGGAGAAAAACGTGGAGAGGCCATCCGTGAAAGAGCTGAGGAGTGTGGGGGAAGGACTGCGATTGCTGCTTCTCTTTACTCTCCAATCCCTGGGACACCCAAACCCTCCTGACGAGGTTCTTTCTCAGGTAAACCTGTAGACCCAGTCTAGCGTTTCCTCAGCCATACACCACAGGCTGCCCCTAAGAGCCCCTTGGTTTTCAATCTGAGGAGGACGCTCCTGTCTGGACCCGGCACAGCACAGGGGCCCGAGATGCCAGGGCGACGAGGTGGGAGTGCTGCAGGCGGGGAAGATGAAGACGGGAAGGATGGAGGCGCCCATGGCGGCAAAGGGATGAAACAGGATTTGAGGGCATGGGGTGGGAGAAGTCAGGAGCCTGGCTGGCTTCTTTCCTTCCCTTTGGGGTGAATCGAGGGATCAGGAGAGAAAACAGTACAGTGTGGTGTGAGGTCCTAAGTTGTGAGAGGAAGTGGCAGAGAGAAGAGTAAAAGGCAGAGGAGGCCCAGAAAAGTGGTTCCTTCCTCTGTCCCTTTCTTCCAGTTTTTTGAATCCATTTCCCTTTTTCTTGGCCAGGGAAAGTTGAGTCAGATGTTTCCTCTCTCTCTTTCTCCACCCTGCTTTTCCTTCCCTCTTTTTGCTCTCTTCTATCTTTTCTCCTTTCTCCCTCACGGTTATTAATTATGTACCGTGTGCCGGGTACGATGTGGGGCACTAAGGATCCCAAGGTCAGGGAGCTCCCGACCAGCACACAGACTTGTAAGCAAATACAAGTTTGACAGTGGACTTAGAGGTATGGACACTTGCCTCATACCTCTCCCGAGAGCCGCGTACCTCACATGCCTCGTAGTTGAAGGTATGAGAGCCCAGAGGATGGAGGAGGGAACTCTGTCCAGGGAAGACTTCTGTTAGGAAGGCATCATCAGATGGGTGTAGATTGAACTGGATCTTGAAGGCTTCCTGGAAACTCACCTTCAGAGAAGGAGGGAGGCATTCCAGTCGAAGGAAAGAAGCAAATGGGGCATGTGGTGCCCTGTGTCTCCATAGCAAAGGGGAAGTCAGTATTCCAGGGATTCTTCAGAGAATTCTGCTCTGTGCCAGCCTACTCTCTTCCCTGGAGCCTTCCTGAAGACAGTGGCTTTCACCTAATTGTATGTTCTCTTCCTCCACAACTCCCCTACGTCTTTCCTGTCTGGTATTTCCACTTCTGACCCCTGAGCAGCTTAAGGCAAAGAAGGGCCACTTCTTTGTACAGGTCAATTTTCTCTTACCCTTGCTAATTTAGATTCTCATGCTGCTAAGGGTGAGATGAGGGAGCCTCCCTCGCATCTTTCTTCATCCCGGCCAGGAGAGACTTGACATGTTTTTGTTTATTGTTTTGAGATTTCATTATTTTATTAAGGTTTCCTTCTATATCTCTGTTTAGGAACATAGTTGAAAGTGAGGAGGGGTAAGTAGGCTATATATGAGAACAGAGAAGAAAGATTGAAGAAGACAGGGAAGAAGGAAATCGGAAACACTGAGAAACTATGAGGATTGAGTCTTTAGGGTGAACTTCTGTGAACACGCTCTGTGATTTGTATGCAAAGACAGGCTTAAATAAAGGTTTCACCATGACTGAATCATTCTTGTCTGAGTTTCTCTATTGTAAAAAACATTCAATATCCCTTGTAATTTGGCTTCTGTCTCCACCACACTACTGAAACCATCCTCCTTCATTGTCACCATGACCTACTTCTCACCAAATCAAACAATCTAAGGCCATTCTCATTTTCCTTCATCTTTCTGCAGGAATTGGCTGGCTTGAAAATTGGCCTAAAAATTTCTCCTTCCCTGGCTCCAGAGATAGCACACTCTCCTACTCTTCTTACTTCTCCAATCCAAAGAGGTGGCAGAAAGTCAAATCATAGTGTCCAAGAGGGGGTGGTGCCATCTTAGGCCGAGCTGACAGCCAAACGTCCAAAATTATGTAGATGGGGGAGTTAGCTGCAAAAGGCTCTAGCTTTCATTACTTAGTTTTTTGGTTTTTTTTTTTTTTTTTTGGCTGCACCCCACGGCATGCGAAACCCGTGCCCCCTGCAGGGGAAGCACAGAGTCTTAACCACTGGACCACGAGGGAAGTCCATTTGTGAAATTGTGGTTAGAATGAGAAGAGAGGAGGTTTCCGATGTGAAGCAGGACACTGGTCTTGCTCTTGGACCACTCTTCAGTGAGAGGGGCCTGATACAGGCAAGGCAACGAGCTGGGGCCCTGGGCAAGTGCACTGAGATTCAGGGTAGTATTTCGACCCCAGAAAGGAAGTAGAGTAAGGATCAGGAATTGGGACAGAAATCATTCCTACGGAGCAGGCAATCATGGCAATCCAGGGATTAGGCTACAGTCTGGTGAGTTCCTAGAGATGTAGGATTCTTATCTTTGGTAAATCAGATAATGAACAAAGGTGTTGTAGGTGCTCCCCTACTACCTGCCCCCACTCTTCCTTCAACTCTTCCTTTGTGGGTGAGGGTGGAATTTACACAGCTGCGCTCATCTTTTCCAGGTCAACTCAGGAACTGGATAGAACTGGGGGTGTAGGTTCAATACCAATAAGTGTGTTGGACTGTATGAGTCTCCTATGCCTAATTCTGGGCTGCCCATGTGCTTCTCTTACTTTGCTTCATGATCCTCTTCAGAAAGCTCACCTGTCCTCTATCCCAAGCCTTAATGACTCAACTGGGTTCTAGTCGTATTATTATTATGTTTTTTTAGCAGCCCTCACCTCTACTTGGATTTACCACTGTCATCGGTTCCGACTCATCATGCTTTGCTGGCACTATCATTTTTCCTTTTTCCTAGACACAAAACTTTGTACTCATCTTGAGCTTGCTCTCCTCTTATCTTTTTTTTCACTCAACTCATCATGTAATTTTTTTTTTGCGGTACGCGGGCCTCTCAGTGTTGCGGCTTCTCCCGTTGCGGAGCACAGGCTCCGGACGCGCAGGCTCAGCGGCCATGGCTCACGGGCCCAGCTGCTCCACGGCATGTGGGATCTTCCCAGACCGGGGCCCGAACCCGTGTCCCCTGCATCGGCAGGCAGACTCTCAACCACTGCGCCACCAGGGAAGCCCTCATCTTGTAACTTTGAACTACCGAAACAGAAACTTACTGGTCTCTTCTCCAGATATTTTCCCTGTCAAATATACTATATATATATATATATATATATTATGCCCTGGACATCTGGAAAATCGATAACAGAAAAGGTTAAAAAGTGAAAAAAAAAGGGGGGGGGTAAAAATCACATAGAAATCCTACTAGCTGCAAAATTAAGCGCTATTCTTTATGCAGACTGACAGTCCAGGAGGTAGAAGCAACAATGTCTAACCAAAAGAGTGAAAAACTGGATAGAAAGATTGTTTAATAGAACCACGGAATGAAGAGATTTTGGATAGTGCAATTCAAACCCTTCTCTACACAGTGTAGGAAGCCAAGGCAGGGGGCATAGTCTGGATAATGAACAGGAAGGCTTTTCAATGAGAGCAGTCTCCAGGTGACATCCTTATAACATCAGGACCAAGAGACTCGCTGAGACAAGCATCACAGGTTAGGTCTACAGGCAGGACAGTAATTATGACATAATTACTCTGTCAAGGCCACAGACTACATTTCAAATCTTAGCTAACTCTTGGGATCAAGGGATCATAGGTGGAAAAGTGTGAATTTATCACAACTTTTGCTAATACAACTACAAAAATATACATACATTACATATATATACATGCCTATGCATAAATACATGCATGAATACATGTATAGGTCATTAGTGGTGAGATTATAGTCTTTTTTTCTCTGAGAGATAGAGGTTTACGGTATTATTATTATGGCTGACGATTCAAGGTACAATAACCTGTATTTCTGATTTAGAATTGTGAAAAAAGTATAGCTTGAGAGTGTGAATTAGAGTGAATTAGAATCAGTATCTTGGGTTCAAGCCCCAAATCAATTGCTGTTTTGGTAATCATGGGTAAGTCCTTTAATCACTTTGAATACCAGTGTCTTTTTTTTTTATATATACATCTTTATTGGAGTATAATTGCTTTACAATGTTGTGTTAGTTTCTGCCGTACAACAAAGTGAATCAGCTATATGCATATGTATATCACCATATCCCCTCCCTCTTGAGCCTCCCTCCCACCCTCCCTATCCCACCCCTCTAGGTGGTCACAAAGCACCGAGCTGATCTCCCTGTGCTATGTGGCTGCTTCCCACTAGCTATCTATTTTACATTTGGTAGTGTATATATGTCAATGCTACTCTCTCACTATGTCCCAGGCTCCCCTTCCCCCTCTGTGTCCTCAAGTCCATTCTCAACGTCTGAATACCAGTATCTTAATCCATAAAATAGAGATAATACCTGTGCTATCAACATCATAGTGCTATTATAGTCATGAGCTCCAGAGCTTGGGATAGTCCTAAGGATCTCTACACACATTTCAAAAAGTGTACCCTGGTACTCTGAAATTAAGTTTCCAGGCTATACCCTTTTAGATTAGCAAGCTAGGTGACACCAAACAGGGTGGCCAGTGTGCTGTAGCACCCCTGAGACCATGAGTGCCATACAGAGGGTTACAGGTTTATCCCCAGCTACTCCAGACTAACACTGCTCCTGAGACAGGGATATGGATTCATCTGGACTCCAGCTGAGGCTAAGGCATTTAGGGAGCTAGAGGTCTTCTAGTTGTATACCAGCTTGACTCATTACCAGACAGGTAATCTGAGCCTCAATGCACTGCACACTTTTCAAGCAAACTGTCAATGATTAAAGCCAACTCTCTCACAATGGAGTAAGAACTGCTTGTTTTAGAATATAGCTAACATTGTTTAAGTGCCTGCTATGTGCCAGGCAGTGTGTTAACTGCTTTACATGCATTGTCACATTTAAATGCCAAACAACCCATAAAAAGTGGATGCTATTATTATCCCCATTTTACAGATAGGAAAATGAAGCTTAGAGGAGTGAATTTACTCACCAAAGGTCACACAGTTTATAAATGTTGAGCATGTATTTAAACACAGGTAGAAGGACTTCCAAGCCTGCTGTCTTTATTATGCCACATCTCCAATGTAGATTCACCTCCATGGAGTGGTAGGCTTTATTCACAAAACTCATACTTAGACTCTACAAGTGGGAGCAGTTAAAGGGTATTAATATCTTTTAACAATCTATAATGGAAAAGAATCTGAAGCTCCTCTGGGGTACCAAGTGCAACCGAATAGGTGCTTGTCCATAAATCACTGCTTGGGTGATTCTTTGAAGCTGGCAGTGGATAGACTGAATAGAAGCACAAGCTGTGAATCTAAAGGTAAATATTCACAAAAGGGAAAAGAAAAATCGGGTGAAACCAAGGGTCTTTATAATCCCCAGGCACTCACTGCCCTCTTAGCTTCTTATCAGAGATCTACCCTTCCCAGTTCAAAGTCTACTCCCTCCAGGAAGTTTCTCACGGTCCCCCTTCACAGAATCCTGAGTTTGTTCCTTAGTAGAATATAGCATTTCCCATAATTTGCCTTGTATTCTTGTGTCTCCTGCATGTGTCTGTCTCCTTTACGAGACCATGAAGCCTTGAGAAGAGGCCATGTTTTACACACTTTACATACTGTCTTGCACTTCATAGGTGCTTAACAGGTATTTATTGACTCAAAATGGGGGAGGATAAGAAGTGTGCAATAAAATTGACTCAAAATGGGAGAGGATAAGAAGTGTGCAATAAAACTGACTAGAAGAGGTGAGCAATTTTTAAAAATTTAACTACCATTGATGTACAATTTCAGGTGTACAACTTCAGATTCTTTTCTATTATAGACTGTTACAAGATACTGGATATATTTCCCTGTGCTATACAGTAAATCCTTGTTGTTTATCTATTTTATATATAGTGGTGTGGACCTGTTAATCTCATACTCTTAATTTATCCCCCCACCCCTTTCCCCTTTGGTAAGCATAAGTTTGTTTTCGAAGTCTGTGAGTCTGTTTCGTAAATAAGTTGATTTGTATTTTTTTTTTTAGATTCCACATATAAGCAATATCAGATATTACTTGTCTCTGACTTACTTCACTTAGTATAATCATCTCTAGGTCCATGAATATTGCTGCAAATGGCAATATTTCATTCTTTTTTAATGGCTGAGTAGTATTCCATTATATATATATATCACATCTTCTTTATTCACTCATCTGTGGGTGGACATTTAGGTTGTTTCCATGTCTTGGCTATTGTGAACAGTGCTGTTATGAATATAGGTGTGCATGTATCTTGTCGAATTAGAGTTTTCATCTTTTCTGGATGTATGTCCAGGAGTGAGATTGCTGGATCATATGGTAGCTCTATTTTTAGTTTTTTAAGGAACCTCCATGCTGTTCTCCATAGTGGCTGCACCAACTTACACTCTCACCAACAGTGCAAGAGTGTTCCCTTTTCTCCACACCCTCTCCAGCATTTATTATTTGTAGACTTTTTGACGATGGCCATTCTGACCATCGTGTGAGGTGGTACCTCACTGTAGTTTTGACTTGCGTTTCCCTAATAACTAGCGATGTTGAGCATCCTTTCATGGGCTTGTTGGCCATCTGTATGTCTAAAGGTGAGCAATTTTAATAGGTGGTAGGGCCCTTAATAAAGGGGCTTCTAAGGGCTGAGGAGATGGCACAACTTCACCCCAGAAAGTGGTAAGTCTGGACACTACACTCATCAGTTGGATATTGCAGCTTAATGCCACTGATCAACAATTATGGGTGTAGGTTACCTATGGGGGAGAAAGTGAGTCATCCTCTAAGAACTTGCAAATAAGCTCTATGAGAGTTAACCCAGTGGGGAATGGAGTGCCTCCTCAGCTCTGGTAGTTGTTCAGTTGGCAGAATGACAGTAATCTGAAGAAAGATTGCTTCAACTCAAGGGAGTGGCTAGTTTAGAAAAGCAGGACTCAGAGGAACAAATAATACAGGGTGCATTGAGCACTGTCCACTGAAAAGAAAAGCTGAGTTTGGACTTTGTAAACATCTTGTGAATTGAGAGATTTCCTCTGTTGCAAGGCAGAGACAGTTCGTCTGGTTGTCTCAAAATCCAACTGAAATATCCTTTAGAGATCAGTCAGTTACTGTCTCTCTGCCTAGAGAATCATTCTAGACTGGTGATTTTCAAAACGTGGTTCCTGGATCAGAGGTCAGAATCCCCAATACCCAAGAGTTTCCTAGAAATGCAGATTCTCAGGCCCTATCCTAAACCTACCAAATCAGAAATTTTCAAGGGGGGTGAGCAACAACCCTAGTTTTAATCAGGGGTTCTTAACCTTTAGCATGTATCAAAATTGCCTGGAGAGCTTGTAAAATACAAATTGCCGGGCCTGGACCCTAGGGCTTAAAAAGGCAGATTCCAGACCCCACTCCACCTGTCTAGATCAGTGCTTCTCAAAGTTTAATGTAAGTGGGAATAATCTGGGAATCTTGTAAAATTACAGATTCTGATTCAGTAGGTCTGAGGTGGGGCCTGAGAGTCTGCATTTCTAACAAGGTGATGCTGATGTTGCTGGTCCACAGCCCATACCTTGATTAGCAAGACCCTAGGGCAGAGATTCCCAAACTTGTCTGCACATTAGTATTATCTGGGGAGTTTCAAAAACTTCTAATGCCCGGGTCCTCCTCTGAAGATTGTGATTTAATCAGTCTAGGGTGTGGCCTGGGTTTGGGGATTTTTAAAAAAGATTTCCAATGGTTCCAATGTGCTGGCTTTGACTTTCTTTGCTCTGGCAGCTAACCAGAAAGGAAACTCTAGATTCTCCTAGTCAACCAGGAAGCAATGGTCACCAGTTGCTACTCTTCCTGTACCACCAGTGTGATGCTAAAATACATTATTTATAAGTTGTAGTTCAGGATCATAAAGGTGACAGAAAAATATTTCTTTTAAAAAGAGTGTAGGGACTAATGGGGTAGGTGGTAAGAGAGGCATCTAAGGAAGTTAGGTGGGATCTGGCTCAACAAATTGAGAATAAAGGATGCCCCTGATTCTGAGCTGAAGCTTCAGTTGTTACCTGAGAATGCAAGGGTACCCGCTACCCTTAGAAAAGGGATATTTTCCAGAAGACAGATAATCTATCTTACATGAAGTAAGCATGTTTCTCCTGCTAATATCTGTTTGGCCCTGCTCTTTATGAAACAGCACGAGCATTACCATCCTAAAGGTCACTTGTCCCTTTCCTAAGCCTGGTCCCACTTTCTGAAAACAGTTCCGCATTAGCCATTCAGGATGGCTCCAAAAAGTTCTTTGTCCAGGGACCTATCCCAGATGGACATAAGCTGCTTAGTTCACTCTGCCTTAATTATTTGACATCTACACCCGGTTACAGGCCATTGCTTTAGACTTTCCGTCTCTTTTTACTTCTATTTTCACCAAGTAACTTTCGCATGAATTAAGAGTCCCACTATACTATTTGATACCAGGACAAAAGGTGTCCAGATCGGCAGCGAACAAGACAAAATCTTTTTCAAGAAATGGTGTTGGAAGATATTAAAAAAGAGAGGAAATTTAGCAAAAGAGCGGAATTTGGTAGAAGAGGAAACCTGAGGGACAGGAGAAAAGAGGACGAGGAAGGGGGGGTGAGGGGGGAAAGGCGGCGAGAGGGAGTGGGACTAACCTCTAGCCCCAGAAAAGGCTGCAACGCCCTCACTGCAGTTGCATCGCCAGCCGCGCATCTCTCCTCCCCGCGGGCCGCGACCGCCCCGCCCCGCGTCTGCGGCGGCGCGCTGTTTCCTCCCCGCTTCCTGCGTCTGCGGCGGTGCGCCGTCTCCTCCCCGCTCGCCGCCCGGCCCCACCTCAGGCTTCCACTCTACCCACCCGCGGAACCGAGAGCCCGGTCCTTTTCCTGCTGCCGAGGACTGAGCGGCCCCGCGTGACAGCCAGCTGCTCCAGGCCCGGGTGGCTCCGGGGACGGTCGAGCGCCGGCAGCAGCTGGCCCTGGCCCCGGGTCTAGGCGTGGGTTCGGCCGCCGGGGCCGGTGGGAAGGGCCTAGCGCGGCCAGGTAGTGACCTCCCGAGACTCCTCTGGGCGGGCGCCGGGAGGGGTGCCTCGGCCCTGTTCCTCCGGCAGCTCCGGGAGCGGGTGTGGTGTGTGAAAGGGGGAGTGGGAAGGATGAGGGAAAGGGAGGGCCCGGGGATAGAAGGCCACAGGAAGAAGGCGGAAGAGACCAAGTGAGAAAGGGTCGTTCTTCCTTGCTCTGTGTTCTCCTTGGAACGGAAACCCGGGCTGTGCTTAAGCAGGGTAGGCTGTCGCACAGCCAACTTAAAAGTGTGGTGGCTATTAATGTGTTAACACGGAAAGGTCTCCAAGGCATACTAAGTGCAGAATAGTCTCTAAAGTATGATCCTCTTTGTGTAAAACAAAACAAAACAAAACAAAAAGGGGGGTGGTGGTGGATATGGGGGAAGGGAAGGTACAGACCTATACATATATTTGTGTATGCATAGAAAGTGTCTGAAACTCTTCATATAAAACTTAGCAGTGGTTATCCCTGGAGAATGGAATTAGAGATGGATATTTTTACTTTTAATTTGTAGAGACTTTTACTTTTCATTTGTAGGTTAGCTGAATCTCCCTTCACAAACACCAGGGTGTGAAAAACATATTTTTGTTAACTTAATTTTTTTTCTTTTTTTAAAATTTATTTATTTTTGGATGCGTTGGGTCTTCGTTGCTGCGTGCGGGCTTTCTCTAGTTGCGGCGAGCGGGGGCTACTCTTCGTTGCGGTGCACGGGCTTCTCCTTGCAGTGGCTTCTCTTGTTGTGGAGCACGGGCTCTAGGCACACGGGCTTCAGGGGTTGTGGCTCGTGGGCTCTAGAGCGCAGGCTCAGTAGTTGTGGCACACGGGCTTAGTTGCTCCGTGGCACGTGGGATCTTCCCAGACCAGGGCTCGAGCCCCGTGTCCTCTGCATTGGAAGGCGGATCCTTAACCTCTCCACCAACAGAGAAGCCCTGTTAACTTAATTTTTGTTGTGAGACGACTTCTTTTGAAAATCTTGAGTCGATTCTGAGATTCCCCAGTCCTTTCACTGGGGGCTTATATAGTGCAAAGACATGAGGGAAATGTACAAGCCTATATAGGCCATCATTCTTGATGCAATTTGCCTGCACTTATGTCCAGTGAGATATCCATTGTCCTTTCTGGTTCTGGATTGTCAGTCCATTCAAGTCTTCTTGGAAGTATTCTACATTCCTGTCCATAAGCTCTTGCATATTAAGGATTAAGCAATTGACTTAACAACATACTCATTCCTAAAATACATAAATGTAAATAGAGAGAGTATGTACATTCCTAATGATATAAATTCAAGCATCCTCTCAGGCAGAGGTTCTTAATTTGTAGTTAATGGAGATTCTAGGAGATCCGTGGGTGGACTCCCTGAAAATTGAATGCAAAGTAGTATATACTCATGCTTTTTCTGTGAAAAACCTCCATGGCTTTCACCAGATTCTCAAAAGCTTATGAATCCCACTGACTAGACATTGTTGCAACAATGGTGAGCAAGGCTAAAGAGTCTCTGTGCTCAGGAATTTATAGTCTGGGGGGATGAAAGACAAATGACCAGGCAATTACAATAAAGAGGATGTGTTCTATGCTAGAGGAAGTACGGTGTGGGAACATAGAAGGACCACCTGTACCAGACTGGGGGCTGGGCGTCACCTGAGGCTCCTTGGAGGAACTGACTATTAAACTGAGGCCTTCAGAGTGAGAGGGAAGTAGAATTTGGCCTAGTAAAGGAGGGGATGGGGAAGGGGGGTGGTCTTGGTAGAAGGAAGAATGTTCTAGGCCTCTGCCTATGCAAAGTCCAGAGTCAAGAGATACCTTGGCAATTCATAAGCTGAAAACAGTTTGTATGGTTCAAGCTTAACATTAGATGGGAGTAGCAGTAAGAGGTGAGGCTGGGAGATCAGAAGCCAGGTATGTGTGTGTTGCTGGGCATGCAGAGGTGAATAAGACACAGGAGCCCTGACCCTCAGGGAGTTTTATTTTATTAAGGAGAAACCAGAAACAAGTAGGCAAATGGGCTAACAAGATAAATTTTTATTATGATGAAATAAACAAGGTGTTGTAAATGGTGGCTGGGGTATGTATTGGGCGCTCCTTTAGGCAGATCTACATACTGTGTGCCACGTGGATTGGAGGGTTTCAGCGATGACGGTGGCAGGCAGAACAGAGAATTGGATAGATCTGGGAGACATTGAGGGAGTAGAATCAATAGGATTTGGTAATTTATTGGATGATAATAATAATAATAGCTTCCACTTATTGCACACTTACTAACTCTAAGTGCTTGATTTATTTATTCCTATACGACTCTATGAGGTAGGCATTTATTTCAGTTTTGTGATGAAACTGTGGCACAGAGAGTTTAAGGAACCAGCCCAAGGTCCCATCAGGATTCAAACTCAAACCTATTTTATACCAAACCCTTGTAAGCGTAGGGGACAATGAGGAGGAATGGATTTGGAGGAGAGGTAGAAAGATGATACATTTGGGATCTATGGAGTTTTGGGTACCTTTGAGCCATCCAAGTGGAGATGTCCAACAGGGGAATGGATAAATGAGTATGAAGCTCAGATGAGATCCAGGTCAAGGAATAAATATGTGAGTTGCCAGCGTAGCAGTGTTATGTGGAGCAACAGAGTAGGTGAGACCACCCTGGGAAAGTATATAGAAGGGTTAGAAAAGAACTCTAAGCAGCATCAACATTCAAGGAAGAGCAGAGAAAGAACCCCCCCAAGAAGGTGTGATCAGGGTTGTAAGAGGAAAACCGGGACAGCACCGTGGAAGTCAAAGGGAGAGAGTTTCAGTGAGACAGTGATCACAGGGTCATATTCCACTTGAGAGATGAAGTAAGATAAGCTCCAAGATATGTCTATTCTTATAGTAGGAAGAATTCCATTAGTTACCTGAGAGGACAGCCTTGGAGGGATAGTGGAAAAAGAATCCCATTTAGTTGGTTAAGAGTGAGTAGGAGGCAAGGAAGTTGAGGTTGGTGAGCATAGACAACTTGATCAAAATGTTTGTTTCTCTGGAGCTAAGAATCCAGAGTCCAGATTACGAGTATGGCTCCTGTGCTAAGTTGGGATCATACTGATAGCCCTAGGGGATCTCCTTTACCCCTTCACGTGGAGACATGTTCCTTTCCTCTCCAGCTCTTACTTTTTATTTATTTATTTATTTATTTATTTATTTATTTATGTCTGGGCCGGTCTTCGTCGTGGCATGCAGGATCTTTTTTTTTTTTTTTTTTTTTGCGGTACGCGGGCCTCTCACTGTTGTGGCCTCTCCCGTTGCGGAGCGCAGGCTCTGGACGCGCAGGCTCAGCGGCCCATGGCTCACGGGCCCAGCCGCTCCGGGGCATGTGGGATCTTCCCGGACCGGGGCACGAACCCGTGTCCCCTGCATCGGCAGGCGGACTCTCAACCACTGCGCCGCCAGGGAAGCCTCATGCAGGATATTTTAGTTGCGGCATGCAGGATCTTTTAGTTGCAGCATGCGGACTCTTGGTTGCGGCATGCGAACTCTTAGTTGCGACATGAATGCGGGATCTAGTTCCCCAACCAGGGATGGAACCCAGGCCCTCTGCATTGGGAGTGCGGAGTCTTACCCACTGGACCACCAACGAAGTCCCTTTTTTTGTTTTTTAAACTTCCTTACTCTTAAGCTTCTACCTCACCTTTTCCCTACTCCTTTCCCTTAGAATACTCCCTGTATACATCCTTGGAATGAACCCAGTCCTGGAAAAACAAATATTGGTTGTTTTCTGCCTTCAGGTCACTGGCATTACCAGGAGGACTATGGGAAAGATTTAGTCCCAGTACGCATGCACTCCCAATACAGCCAGCTGCTCATTACCTGTCTTTCTCTCCTTGTAGGCATATACTGGTTGGGCTCCAGCCATGGAGAAACTCCATGGGCATGTGTCTACTCACCTGGACATCCTCTCCTTGGAGAACCGGTGCCTGGCCACACTTCCTGACCTGAAGACGTTGGAGAAACCACATGGGCGTGTGTCTACCCACCCAGACATCCTCTCCTTGGAGAACCGGTGCCTGGCCACGCTTCCTGACCTGAAGACGTTGGAGAAACCACATGGGCGTGTGTCTACCCACTCAGACATCCTCTCCTTGGAGAACCGGTGCCGACATCCTCTCCTTGGAGAACCGGTGCCTGGCCACACTTCCTGACCTGAAGACGTTGGAGAAACCACATGGGCGTGTGTCTACCCACCCAGACATCCTCTCCTTGGAGAACCGGTGCCTGGCCACGCTTCCTGACCTGAAGACGTTGGAGAAACCACATGGGCGTGTGTCTACCCACTCAGACATCCTCTCCTTGGAGAACCGGTGCCTAGCCACACTCCCCACTCTGAAGAGCACTGTGTCCACCAGCCCCTTAACCCAGAGTCTCCAGATACCTCACATGGTGCAGTCTGGCCTGTGCAGCCTGAGTGCCAGCAACCACCTGCTCTCTGAATCTCCAGCTTCAAGGGCTCAGTGCTTCTCTGAGGGTCTAGGCCTTCTGACCTGCCCCAGGGTCTTGAAAACCATCTCTACCACAGAGAGAGCTCAGGAAGCAGCTTTGGTAATAGCTCCAAACAGTTGTCTTCACTGCAGCCATGTCTGTTAGAATGTCTAGTCACTAGCTTTCAGTGCCACAGTGTTCCTGTGTGCTGCTCTGTGTCTGTGTACCTTCTTTCCTCAGAGCCTCTTCCTGAGGCATCTTTTACCCGAGGGCTGTCTTCATGAGCGTCATCACTCTTACTGCTTATCTAGTGCAGAGATTCTGGACAATAGAGCATAAGTAGGTTTTGTCCTCGGAAAGCCTCTGCTCGGGAGGAGAGCCGATATACTATTGCAGTAGCAGAGTCAATCAGGTGCTTTTGAGATCTTACAAGGCATGAGAAACAACTACAGTACCACTTCCCTGTGTGTGCATGTGCAGACACACGTCCACTTGTACACATCTATATAAGCACGTTTAGTATACAGGTCAGGATCGGTAGACAAACACACATTCCTTCTATGTAGACTTGAGATTTGGACTGAGGGAAAGGCAAATCTGAGCCCTCTACCATTTTTGCCAATTATAAGCCACTCGACCTTGGGCAAGACTCTTAACCTTTTTTTTTTTTTCTAAATTAATTTTTATTGGAGTATAGTTGCTCCACGATGTTGTGTTAGCCTCTGCTGTACAACAGAGTGAACCAGTTACACGTATATACACATCCCCTCTTTTTTAGATTTCCTTCCCATTTAGGTCACCACAGAATATTAAGTAGAGTTCCCTGTGCTGTACAGTAGGTTCTCATTAGTCATCTATTTTATACATAGTAGTGTATACATGTCAATCCCAATCTCCCAGTTCATCCCACCTCCCCTTCCGCCTCTCTGGCATCCACAAGTCTGTTCTCCACATCTGCGTCTCTACCTCTGGCTTGCAAATAAGTTCATCTGTACCATCCTTCTAGACTCCACACATTAGCGACACCACACGATATTTGGTTTTCTCGTTCTGACTTCCCTCTGTATGACAGTCTCTAGATCTATCCATGTCTCTGCAAATGGCACTATTTTGTTCCTTTTTATGCCTGAGTAATATTCTATTGTGTGTATTTACCACATCTTCTTTATCCATTCCTCTGTTGATGGACATTTTGGTTGCTTCCATGTCCTGGCTATTGTAAATAGTGCTGCAATGAACATTAGGGTGCATGTATCTTTTTGAATTATGGTTTTCTCTGGGTATATGCCCAGGAGTGGGATTGCTGGGTCATATGGTAGTTCTATTAATATTTTTTAGTTTCCTGTTTTCCATAGTGGCTGTATCAATTTACATTCCCACCAACAGTGTAGGAGGGTTCCCTTTTCTCCACATCTTCTCCAGAGTGGTCCACTCTCACCACTATTATTCAACATAGTTTTGGAAGTCCTAGCCATGGCAGTCAGAGAAGAAAAAGAAATAAAAGGAATCCAGATTGGAAAAGAAGAAGTAAAACTGTCACTGTTGGCAGATGACATGATACTATATATACATAGAAAATCCTAAAGAGGCCACCAGAAAACTACTAGAGCTTATCAGTGAATTTGGTAAAATCACAGGATACAAAATTAATACACAGAAATTTCTTGCATTCCTATACACTAACAACGAAAGATCAGAAGGAGAAATTAGGGAAACAATCTTGTTTACCATTGCAAAAAAAAGAATAAAATACCTAGAAATAAACCTACCTAAGGAGACAAAAGACCTGTACTCAGAAAACTATAGGATACTGATGAAAGAAAGACAGCACGAACAGATGGAGAGACATGCCGTGTTCTTGGATTGGAAGAATCAATACTGTGAAAATGACTATACTACTCAAAGACTCTTAACCTTTTGAAACTTTAATTTCCTCACCTTTCAGATGAGATCAATGAAAATCCACGTCATAGGGTCATTGTCAGGATTACAGCTACTGCCATCTTACATTTATTTAGGGCTTTGCAATTTGCAAAGAGTCATACATACATGACCCCATTTAATCTTGTAACAGCCCCATCAGGTAGGTGGCAGGGAATGAGGAAGCTGAGGCTCAGAGGGTAAGCTCACGATTGCTGGGTGATTGATCTGGGACTTGGTCCTTCTTCTTCTGACTCTAAAAATACCTTAATAGCCTCTTGGGAGGTGTGTTGTGAAGGGCCCCAGGCTCCTAGGCTGTGATATCCGTAAGGAGATGAAAGAAGCCGGAAGATCATGAAGCATCTGAGCAAAGGCTCAGAATGTTGATCTGGGAAAGGGCGTGTGTGTGATACTGAGAGATCACTCTTGTCAGACTGGACAGATCCATGCTGGGGGGTGAGGGGAGAAGAGTTTAGGTGCTAGAAGGTAGATGTGGACTCTTCCTAGCCCTGGATGCTGCTTTCAGATCTCTGTCTTGTATGAGGGGCTGTGGGTGAGTGCTGGGATTCATAGCTGTCACTATCCCCAGGGTCGATGGTCTTCTTCTGGAGAGAAAAAATCAGAAGACAAGGAATGGGCAGAGGCTCAAATGCCTTTTTATAGTCTAAGCTTGGGAGAGGCGGAGAAAGTGGAGCTGACCCTGAAGCTCACCCCTGGGGACTCTGAATCCCATCCTGAGCCTGCTGACCAGGCCCTTCAGGAAAAGAAGGTAAAAGTTCCAGAGCTGGGGAGAGGTTGATGGTGGAGTGGGGGGGCCTAGGGAAGTTGGGTAGAGTGGGCACCAAAGGCTGATCCCCTCCACAGAGAGAAGGGGAAGGAACTCTGGTTTCTTACTTCCTAATCCCCTTTTCTGACCTCTCAGCCAGACAGACATCTTCCTGAATCTGGGTTCATTCTCTCTGTCTTTGGAAGTTGGCCTGAGTGGATGCTTAAGTTGGTCCTTATTACGTCTCTTCTCCTTTCTTCCCTCTCTTTCCCAATTCCCAGATGGTTCTAATGAGCTTTCTGTGTTCTACTCTGGTGTCAGACGTAAACACAAATGATGCAGCTTACTCTACCCAGGCTTTCCTCCTCCAAGTCTGTAGTGAACTTTCCCCCTTGGAGCCTGAATTTATACTCAAGGTATTGTGACATGAAAGAGGGGATGGGAGTGGGAAGTTAGGAGGAAGGGAATTTGGTTATGGTGTGTGAGGGGGATGGTGAGAGGCTTTATACTAGGGGCTGAAGGAACTTAGGAAGGTAGTAGGATCTCTGGGTGAGCCTGAGGCCCAGTCCCTAGGGTTCTCTGAGGATTGGGGCAAGATAGGATTGAGAAAGTATCCTAGGGTTTGTTTATTTAGTAGGTACACAGGCTAAGTACACAATGCTAGGCCTTGAGGGTTGTACCAACAGATAAAATGAAACTTGGACCCGGCTCTTAGGGAATGCTATTATTAATGGTATTATTAGCGAAGCAAAAACGATCCCAAATATTATATGAATGCAAATGGAGTAGCAGACTGTGAATGTTTCAGAAGCAGAAAAGAGAGGGAAAATGTTTCCTAGGAAGCTTGGGAAGATGGCAGGATAAATCAGCAATTTGAACCCTGGGTAAGTTTTTGATAGACATTGATGGTGGGAGGTCTTCCAAAGCAGGAAAAGGACAAGGTTAAAGGCCCTTAAATTGGGGTAAGTAGACTTAGGAGAAGACTGGTGAATAAGGGCTAGATCATGGAAGATATAGAATGCCAAGCCAAGAGGCCTGGATTTTATATTTACAGACAATATGGAGGGCTCAGGAAAGGTTTTATGCAGGCAGATTAGATAAGCAAATTAGGGCATGGTGCTGTGCAGAAGTGGCTGAGAGGCCAGCGCTCCCTACCCTGTGCCCTAGGCATCTCTGTACGCCAGGCGGCAGCTGAATGTCCGGGATGTGGCCAACAAAGTCTTGGCCATTGCTGCCTTCTTGCCAGTCTGCCGCCCCTACCTGCGACGATATTTCTGTGCCATTGTCCAGCTGCCTTCTGATTGGATCCAGGTAGCCAGGTTCTACCAGGTATGGCATTCAGTTCCCTGACTTTTGACCCTCACTTGGTTCCCTCTCCTTTGCTCACTGCATCTGTGGAGAAAATTCTCAGACACTTTGGCCTGCCCTCAGCTGTCCTCAACCCCGGTGCCCAGACAGGACAGCTTCTCCTGGTACCAGGCTGGGTTGCCCAACAGGGAGAATATGATTGAGAAGGGCTGGACTGAGTTTGAGAAAACTTGGTGTTATTCCGGACCTCGTGTTTCCAGTGAAGAGAATAAGAATCTGAGAAGTCTGCCCTCAGGTCCAGGACCACAGAAATTGTCGTTGTAGAGCTGGGGCTGGGGACTTCCTATCCTGTGCTGTCACTTAACCCCATGAAGTGCTCTCATTTTGTTTTGGAGGGTCTCGCTCCTGAGGGTTTCTCGTCTCTCTGACAGCTCCTGACTGGAGAAGAGGAGGACAGGCTGGTGCCCCTGCCTGCCTGCCTGCGTGCTGCGATGACGGACAAATTTGCCCAGTTTGATGAGTACCAGCTGGCTAAGTATAACCCTCGGAAGCACCGGGCCAAGAGGCGCCCCCGCCGGCCACCCCGCCCTCCAGTCAGTCCCTGCCTCTACCCTGGTCATTCACAGCCTAGGCCCTTTTCCCCCGGAAAGTGAGAGGGATGAGGGAACACGCTGACCTCCTTAAACAGCTGACATGTTTCTACCACCAGGACAGAAGGAGTCAGAGAACTGCAGAGGAGCTGGGTAGAGCTCAGAGGGCAGAGAGGGCAGGGCCTGCCTTTTTCCCAGCCAGTTTCCTTTGTGGTAGAGATGGGCCTTCAGGGCTACTGGAATGGGTCTCTCTAGGGACAGCCTCCACTTCCCCTTTTGAAATGGCTTGTCCTGTCCCTACAGAAGGAGCATACATTTTCTGAGACACAGAAATACTTGCCAAAGTTCATTCGGCCTCTTCAAGATGAACAGAGGATGGTGAGTGCCTTGTTCTGGGGTTCTAAACATACACGTACGGTCTTTCCTCAACTAATGTTTAGAAATGGAATTCCATTTGGTCCAGAAATACTACTAGTGGGTATGGTAGGCACATGCCAGTGTCCTACCTGGATAATTCTCAGCTGTGATTATGGGGTTTTGAGAGCCCCGGGAAAGGCTCCTTTTATTTCCATTTTGCTCTCCTTGGTGTCATTCTTTACTGACAGATGGCACATCCAGCTGGATAAGTGAGTTAAAAACATTATGAAATATCCACCTTCCATAGGAAGTTTTAAAAACAAACCAAACAAAAAAAGTTTTTTTCTTTTACTTTAATAACAAGACACTGGTCTTTGCCGTTAAGAGCATAGAAGCTGGATTCAGACCATCTGGGTTTGAATCTCCCCACCTGCCCCCCCCACCAGTTGCTGGCTCTGTGAACCTTGGCTGAATCGCTTACTCCCTCTTGCCTCGTTTTACTCACATATAAAATGGGGATAATAGCAGTACCTTCTTCATTGGGTTTTTGTGAGGATTCAATCAGTTACTGTATTTAAAGTATTTCTAACAATACCTGGCACTGAGTAAGTGACGATTTCATCATCATCATCATTAAAATAGACTTTTAGGAAAATATATTAGTATTACAAGAAAATACATCCTCAGTTGGTCCATTGGTCTTTTCTCTTCATCCTATTAATACAACCCAAACTTAGCTCCTCTAACAGAAGATTCTGAAAGCCAGCTTCTTTCATTCTTTAACTCCTCACAGCCTGCATTGTGCTGATGCCTCCATTTACACGCTGCAGGTCTCAGCGATTTATTTATTTATTTATTTTAAAATTTATTTATTTATTTTTGTCTGCGTCGGGTCTTCGGTGCTGCGTGCGGCCTTTCTCTAGTTGTGGAGAGCGGGGGCTACTCTTTGTTGCGGTACGCGGGCTTCTCATTGCAGTGGCTTCTCTTGTTGCGGAGCACGGGCTCTAGGCATGTGGGCTTCAGTAGTTGCAGTGCGCGGGCTCAGTAGTTGTGGCTCATGGGCTCTAGAGCACAGGCTCAGTAGTTGTGGCGCACGGGCATCGTTGCTCTGCGGCATGTGGGATCTTCCCGGACCAGGGCTCGAACCCGTGTACCCTGCATTGGCAGGCGGATTCTTAACCACTGTGTCACCAGGGAAGCCCCCAGATCTCAGTGATTTAAATAAGAGCTGCTTTTCCCTCTTCCTCCCTCTAAGAACAAGGTGTTTTCTGTTTATTCAAGCCCCATCTTGCTTGTCACCACCCAGTCATCCCATGTTAACCATTGATAGTTCAACCTTGTGTAAATGAAACACGGTGACCCCATAGACCTACTCTGTTATGTTCATCACAGAAGCTCTTGCTGTTGGAGAGTTTTACCCTCTATTCCTATTCTTTGCCCAAATCTACTTTGGGGAAAGAAATTACCGTAGTTATAGGATAGTCTTGGTTTTTGTTTTCTGAAGAAAGTGACCATGGTCATAGATTGAATGACCCCTGTGGGACTTGTGGATATTTCCACAGTTTGAGGCAACCTGCAGTGCAGTGTCAGAGAAAAAGAATGAGCCAAGTTTCACCCTGAAGAAGTTGGTACAGAGACTGCACATCCATGAGCCTGCACAGCTTGTCCAGGCCCTCCTGGGCTGCAGGTGAGAAGATGTACCCTGAGCACACGCTCCATCCGGGTAATGGCCTGATTCTTCAACACCTATGGCCCCAATCCCTGTAGTTGGACCCCAGCAACATTAGTTTGGGCAGACCTGGCCTTAAATGTGACTCACTAGCTTTGACTGACTCACCATTCCTTTTCTCAGTTATTTTCAGCTGGCTTTGAAATCCTAAGTTTTTCCTCCTCTGTTCCAGATACCCCTCCAACCTACAGGCCTTTTCTCGAAGTCGCCTCCCGGGGCCCTGGGATTCTAGCAGAGCCGGGAAGCGGATGAAGCTTGCTAAGCCAGAGACCTGGGAGCGAGAGCTGAGCTTGTCGGGGAACAAAGCTTCCGTCTGGGAGGAACTCATCGGTAGAGTAACCTTGACCGTCACACTTCTTTCCTCTCTTCCTCATTCATGCCTCTATGTTTTGGACCCTGACTAGAAGCTTTCCATGGCATGGTGCAGTTATTCTCTTATTTGGCAGTTCCATCACTGAAAATGATTGCATTTATCAGGTCTGCCATTGACCACACCAAAGTGAACAGTGGCACCTGCTTTGAATAGCACTGGCATCATAGGTAGGTCATAATTCCAGACGTGGTTAGGTGATACACAAGCCTTTATCAACACATGACAAAAGCAGTACCTTCTCTCTGATTTCACTTGTGTCAGTATCTGTGTAACTCATCCAAACAAGGTAGGACTAGTACGTGGCATACTGGAATCTCCACCAAAACCCTTTTTTTTTTTTTCCGATACGCGGGCCTCTCACTGTTGTGGCCTCTCCCATTGCGGAGCACAGGCTCCGGACGCGCAGGCTCAGCGGCCATGGCTCACGGGCCCAGCCGCTCCACGGCATGTGGGATCTTTCCGGACCGGGGCACGAACCCGTGTCCCCTGCATCGGCAGGCGGACTCTCAACCAGTGCGCCACCAGGGAAGCCCCCAAAACCCATTTTTTAGGACATGGATGTTTTAGGTAATTTGCCCACACTGATAAAAAGAATTCAAATGGGGAAGACCAAGTTCCTTTCAGTCTTCTCTTTCTGTTTTTTTTGCTAGTGTATTTTTAACTATAGAAGGCTCTTCCTGTTCCATTTTTTCTTTTATGTCCTCTTTCATCTTTGAAGTCAACTTCTTTCTGTTGAAAAATACCTGATTGTAGCCCTTTTGACTGCTTGAGTTTTGTGGACTTCATATTTTGGAGCTTCAGAAGCCCAAGTTGGCTTTTATTGCTCTGTAAGCTGCTATTTATAGGTGGTACTCAGGGCAGCCCAAAAAGCTTAACTGCTTATCGTTCCTCCCACTTTGGGGTTGTCACTAGTGCTGTATGTATCAGAATCACCTGGGAATTAAAACACACACGCGCGCGCGCACACACACACACACACACACACACACACACACATACACATGCTTGACAACTTATTCTGCAATGTTTGATACAACTTTGGGTAGAGTAGGATAAAGGAGCCTGGATGGCAGTCAACATGTGTTGGTGATTCTAGTATGCATCATCTCCCCTTTCCTCCCTCTGCCTCTGAAAATTAAAACTGCTATTTATCTTGGTTGAGACCAATGCCCATAATCTAAACCAGTGGTCTCCAGACCACTGGATCACTTATTGCAGAAACAATTTTTGGGATATACCAGAATATATGTATATATATATATATATATATATTTAAAAAATTTTTATACATGTACTAATCAATTATGTGCTTTAGGAACTATATAATATATAATTATATAAATATAGATATGAAAATTAATAAAATAAATATAACTATAAAATATAAGATAAAATATAATTAGATATACAGATCCCTCTTTGGAAACCAGAGGCTCATTAACAACTCATTAATGAATTATTTGGAATGAAATCAGTGAATTTCTCAATCTGTAGGATGAATATTCATTTATTCATCTAGTATCATATCAATAAATATGATATTGAACTTAACTTCTTATCAAAGTGATCTAGAAAATCTTTCATACATAGCAACATTTGAGCAAAACTAATGAGTTGACAGAGGATGCAATAGTTCATGAGTTGTCACACATCATTTACGTTGCGTATACAACATAATTGTTCTACACAGTCTGTAAATCAGAAGTATTATGATTGGAGAACCCCAGGACTTCCAGCAGGCTTAAAGCTTTCTAGCTATAATTCAAACGAGACTTACATCACCTTAAAAAAGGTACCACCACTTTCCCAATGAAAGCTGCTGATGGTAGGGCTAGTGCCTGGGATGTGGGTGGGGCCTGGTCTGTAATGTAGTCTGAACGCATCTCTGGGTGGTAGCCAGGAAAAATATCACACCTCCTATTTATGTTGACCTTTATCTAAAAGAAAGAATGTTTCCAATGTTTACTGTACAGATTGAACCCCTGTAGTCACTTAGTTCATGTTACATGTTTATGTGTCATGTATGATAGTTGAGGCTTCTTGAGGAAGAGGAGGCGTTCCACAATACAAGGGCATTGATGGGGCCCCCTCACTCTTTTTTGGTTTCTGCATAATGAGACTTGTTGCAGCTTATCTCTGAATTGTAAATGGATTTAGAGTTATTATTCAGTATTAACCAAACTAACCCTCTAAAATTGACATAAGCCTTAAAAAGATTATTAAGAAGCTATGACTTGGGACTTCCCTGGTGCGCAGTGGATAAGAATCTGCCTGCCAGTGCAGGGGACACAGGTATGGTCCCTAGTCTGGGAAGATCCCACATGCCACAGAGCAGCTAAGCCTGTGCGCCACAACTACTGAGCCTGCGCTCTAGAGCCCGTGAGCCACAACTACTGAGCCTGCGTGCCACAACTACAGAAGTCCGCATGCCTAGAACCCCTGCTCTGCAACAAGAGAAGCCACTGCAATGAGAAGCCCGTGCACTGCAACGAAGAGCAGCCCCCGCCTGCTTGCTGCAACTAGAGAAAGCTTGCACGCAGCAATGAAGACCCGAGGCAGCCAGAAATAAATAAATAATTAAAAAAAAAAAAGAAACTGTGACTTGAAGGTAATACTAATATCACAGGGACAAGTGAACAATAAGAAAATGACAGAAGTGAAATTCTGCTTCAGGGCAAATCTTTCTCACCTATCTTTATTTTATTTTTCTTTTAATTTTTTTTTTAATTAAAAAAACTTTTTTGGCCATACCGTGTGGCATGCGGGATGTTAGTTCCCTGACCAGGGATTGAACCCGTGCCCGCAGCAGTGGAAGTGCAGAGTCTTAACCACTGAACCGCCAGGGAAGTCCCTTTTCACCTATCTTTATTTTTTTAATTTATTTTTAAAATTTTAAAATTTATTTTATTTATTTATTTTACTCATATTTATTTTTGGCTGCATTGGGTCTTCGTTGCTGCATGTGGGCTTTCTCTAGTTGCAGTGAGCGGGGGCTACCCTTCGTTGCGATGCGCAGCTTCTCATTGCGGTGGCTTCTCTTGTTGCAGAGCATGGGCTCTAGGCGCATGGGCTTCAGTAGTTGTGGCTCGTAAGCTCTAGAGCACAGGCTCAGTAGTTGTGGCGCACGGGCTTAGTTGCTCTGCGGCATGTGGGATCTTCCCGGACCAGGGCTCAAACCCGTGTGCCCTGCGTTGGCAGGTGGATTCTTAACCACTGCTTCACCAGGGAAGCCCTCACCTATCTTTAAGTAAAAAATGATGACTATTTAATCAGCTCATACAAGACATTGACCAAAAAACTTAAGAATTATCAAGAAGACTATTTGAAATATCAATTTACACTCACAGTAAACGGTGAACCTTTACTTTAAATGTATATCCTGCCTTGAAATATTAACTAATGATTGTACTACATGTATATAATTTATAAGATTACACTAGGAAATTTCTCTTTAGCCATCTAAAAACTTTGGAAATCATTACTGTGGATTAGAGAATGTATTTTGCCTGTTGAGCCCAATCTCAGGGCTGGAGCCAGCAGACAAAGTGATACCCTCAGTTGTTTATTGAAATAGCTAATCCCATAAACAGTGTTGATTAGGTTTTGCTCCAAGCTCAGGCAACCCAGTTGTTATCTTTACAGACCTTTAAAACATTTTGGGTAGGATAGATCATATGTTCGTACCTCATTTGCTCCAACCTGAACGTTCTGCATGGCTCTGGTCTCTGACCTCTCTCACTCATCCTTTGTTTGCTTTTCTCACCCTTGTCCTACCTTCCGTAGACAGTGGGAAGCTTCCCTTCATGGCCATGCTTCGGAATCTGCGCAACCTGCTGAGGGTTGGAATCAGCACCCGCCACCACAATCTTGTGCTCCAGAGACTCCAGCATGCTGTACGTGTGAAGGGCAGGGAGCCAGCCTTCTCCTAGTGGCTGGGGAAGGTCATAGCCACCAAGCTATTTCCATATGGGCTGTAAACAGATATGGAGCTTCAGATAGGTTGAGGGAGACAGGTTTGGGGGTTCATCATCCCTTAGAGTATAGAGTATAATAACTTTCCTTTTTATTTTCTGAGATCATTTCTGTGATTTAAGTAACTTCAGAGGGAGTCTGATATAAAAGAAACAGGGAACCTTCTGTTACTTCCTCTCCTTTCCTCGTATTCTCACGTGACATCTTTCTTTATTCTTCTCCACCTTTATCTAATATCCATTTTGGTCTTCCTCACCTTCCCACAGATCTAATAGAGTGGTTATCTCATCTTCCGGGTTCCTGGAGCCTCTGATGCTCCCCATGCTTCCTGGTCCTCTGCTCATGACCCCTCTCTTGCTTTGCAGAAGTCAGTGATCAACAGTCGGCAGTTTCCATTCAGATTCCTTAATGCTCATGATTCCATCAATGACTTTGAGGCTCAACTCGAAAAGAAAGGTATTATCTCTCTTCTTCCAACTCCTGTTTGTCTCTCATGCCTGAGAACAGATGAGACAGCAGCACTGGTATTTTCAGCCTCTTGCCTTCCAGTCTCAGGGTATGGGGTGGGCAGAGGTCAGACACTGGCCAGCCCAAAGGATCAGGACTCAGGACAGGCCATGATGGGAAGACAAGAGGAGGGAATAGAAGCCGCCTGACTCAGATACTTACCTGTCGCCACCCAGAGTTGCCACTTCCTTCCAACACAAAACTGATAAAGCGGATAATAATTAAAAACACAAGATATGGCAAGAGGTGTGCCTATTCCTGGCAGTTTTACAAACCAAGTCGTCGGGAACTTCGGGCAGCAATGATGATCCCCGTGATATATGAGCAGCTCAAGCGGAAGAAGCTGAAAATACACAAGGCCAGGTGTGTGTGTGAGTGTGTGCTATCTGGGAGCAAAGGGTGGGCAACAAGAGGCACCCTGAAAGGGCTTGGGAGTCATCTGGAAACCCCAGCTTTTATTCTGCAATGACATGCTTGTCAGTCATCCCAATGGCTGAGACTTGCCTGTTTCCAGTCTTCTCTCGCACAGCAAGCCTTGTCTTTAACATTGTCCTGTAGAGAGATCATGAAACAAAATCTGTGTTTGGGCCTCCACTCTATTATCTGTGATTGCCTTATTGGTTTCTGTGGACTCCTTCAGCCTGTGTAGCATTTCCCTTCCTATTAGTACATGATAGTGCCTCTCTACTTATGCTCTGGTTCACATTTTCTTTCTTTTTCTTCTCTGTGATATCTGTTTGTTTTTCTTTTCGTTTCTCTCCTCTGTGTATTTTCTGACCCATTCACTTTCCTTTTCCTTTTGACACATGTAAAGATAGTTATCATCAAGCAGACTCAAAGTCAGGCATAAAACCTGTTCTATAAGCTTGGTGAAGTCCCAGCACTCTGTCCTTTTAGATGCATCCACAGTATCTTTATTCGTTTTCATTCAAGACAAATGCAGGGCTCATCTAACCTTCTAGTAGGACTCAGTGGCCAGGACTCACCTGAATCAGTGAATCAGTGGCAGAACATGGGGCCATTAAAGAATTAAGCTGAGGATGCAGTCCAAACAGGATGTCTTTGCTGGCCAGTTTGGTAGCCACTAGCCACAGGTGGCTGTTGAGCTCTTGAAATGTGGCTAATGGGAACTGAGATGTGCTAGATTTCGGGGCAGTGTGAAAAAGGATGTAAAATATCTCATTTGTAATTTTTGTTTAATTACGTGTTGAGGTGAAAAAATATACATATATAAGGCTAAATTAAATGTAATATTAATGTGTCCTGTTTCTTTTTACTTTTTTAAATGTGGCTGCTAGAAAACCTTACATGTGTAATTTCAATTTCATTTCATTTCATTAATTGTAATTTATTTCTACTGGATAGCACTGGTAGAGACTGCTGGATTCTCTAGATTAAAAAAAACTGAAAAAATTTAAACGTGTACAAAAGTAATGAGAATAATATAATGGACTCCCATGAAACTGTTAGCCACTTTCAGTGAAAATCTAGATTTTGTCAGCCTTCCTTTCCTGATCCCTCTCTCTTCCCTTCTTTTCTTTTTTTTTTGAAGATTTTTTTTTAAATTAATTAATTTATTTATTTTTGGCTGCTTTGTGTCTTTGTTGCTGCGCACGGGCTTTCTCTAGTTGCAGCGAGCGGGGGCTACTCTGTTGCGGTGTGCGGGCTTCTCATTGCGGTGGCCTCTCCTGCTGCAGAGCACGGGCCCTAGGCACACGGGCTTCAGCAGCTGTGGCACGCGGGCCGTAGAGCATACGCTCAGTAGTTGTGGCACACTGTGGCACATGGGCTTAATTGCTCCGCGGCATGTGGGATCTTCCCGGACCAGGGCTCGAACCTGTGTCCCCTGCATTGGCAGACGGATTCTTAACTACTGTGCCACCAGGGAAGTCCCAGATTTACTTAAATCTCTTAATTGTTTTCATGCCATTGACTTGCTGTGGAAATCAGGTTCAGGGGGCCCCACAGAAGGTCCCATATTCTAGATTTGTCTACTTCTCCAGTGTCATCTCACTTGTTTCTCTATTTCGTGTACCCTGGGCATTAACTCTAAAAGCTTGAATAGATTCATATTTAACTTTTTTTCTTACGTGAATATTTCGTAGGTGATCCTTTGTACACAATGAGTAAGACCACCAGAATTTTTGTCTCCTGGTAGGACACAGGATCAGGAGGCACCAGAAGCCTACTGGTCCCACTCATAGTGTTGATGATTGATCAGTGCTTTTAGGTTATGGTAGCCTGATTTCTCCACTGTAAAGTTAATGGTTTATCCATTTGATAGTCTATGCCCAAATCAATTGTTTCATTAGCAGTTGCAGAATGGGGGTTTTCTATCATTCCCATATTTATTAGCTAGAACTCTAAAAAGAACTTCGCTCATGAACTAAAGCTATTTAGTTACTTTGAAATAGAGATTGTCTTGGGAAGGTGGGATGAATGTTCGATTCTTTCTCCTTTAATTGCCATTTTTTAGAGTAAGAAGTTAGCATGTGTTCTTTAAATTACAATGTAAAAATATGTAGCAGTTAAATCTTGCCTCATGAAGTAAGTATGGATTGATGTAGTCAGCATGGCAAGCGATTTCAGAGAATGGCTCTACAGATGACTTCTCTCCTGCCATGAGAATGGATTAGGATAGTCTTGTAGAATGGGGGCCAAGGGAAGTTCTGTCCCTGTTTTCTCTACTGATATTGGAGATGGGCTGTGGAGGGGGTGAAGACTTTATACTTGAGTGGCAAGTTCTCATCTTCCCATCCGCCTCAAAGTGGCAAACAGTGAAGCCCCTGTCTGTTTCTTTCCTGCCTGCAGACAGTGGAAATATGACTGTGCAATGCTGGCTCAGTATCGACAGGCCCTGGAGACAGCTGTGAACCTCTCCGTCAAACACAGCCTGCCCCCGCTGCCAGGCCGCACCCTCTTGGTCTATCTGACAGATGCTGATGCAGACAGGATCCTTCCCAAGAGCAACCCACAAGGGGTAAAAGAATAAAAAGATGGGGTGATGTTGGTAGGATGCTGGAGATCCTGAGAGGCATCCTGTTCCCAGACCTGGTTCTCCCAGGCAAACACTCAGAACTAAAATAAATGACATGCATTTGCTTCCCAGTATCAGACCTTGGTTCCTAGGGATAATTCCTAGAATGTGGTCTCAAGCATGTTCGTGGATCGTAGCACTAACCTTTCACATTTGGCTCGTCCTTAATACTCTCTAAATTTCTGTCACCAAAATATGTGTCACTTTCACCTCCTTCCATCCCAGTATTGAATTTGGGCAGGGATCCTGGCCCTTCTCCACCTCCTACCTGGTCATCTCTTCCTGGGGACTGCTGAAGCTGCCCCATCTTAATTGGGGATTTTGTCCACTTTTCCCCAACCAGTGGAGACGTTTGGCCTCTAGAGCTGGGTGGGCAAACGTGGATTCTAAAATAGGGAAGTCTTATTTTACCCTGATGCTTGTCCAATCAGCCCCCTCTGAACTATGTGCTGCTGTTGATTGCAATGATGATGACACGGACAGAGCAGGTGGATCTCTTGCTGTGTGGAAGTGGCACTGTGAAGACTGCTGTGATTAAGGCAGAGGAAGGTATCCTGAAGACTGCCGCCAAACTCCAAGCTCAAGTCCAGGTCAGACACCCACCATGCAAATATATGTGAATAGACAGAGGCCTGGGAACAGCCTGACTAGGAAAGGCTCGGTTATACTCAGTTTAGAAGATTTCTTTCTTTCTTTTTTTCAAAAAATATTTATTTATTTATTTGGTTGCACCAGGTCTTAGTTGCGGCAGGCAGGCTCCTTAGTTGTGGCTCCCAGGCTCCTTAGTTGCAGCTCACCAGCTCCTTAGTTGCAGCATGCAGGCTCCTTAGTTGTGGCATGTGAACTCTTAGTTGCGGCATGCACATGGGATCTAGTTCCCTGACCAGGGATGGAACCCAGGCCCCCTGCATGGGGAGCATAGAATCTTAATCCACTGCGCCACCAGGGAAGTCCCTTAGTTCTGAAGATTTCTTGAGCAGACTATAGTATTTGTTGTTTAATGATCATCTCTCATGCAACCACATGACACAAGTCTCTTTCCTTCAGGAGTCGGATGAAAAGTGTGAATGGTCCCTGCCTACTTTTGGGAAGCACTTGCTGTCCCTGGCTACCCAAAGGGTCCCTGTGAGTACTGCCCAGTCCCTGAGAAACCCTCCCCTCCCCAACATTTTCCTCCACACTGATGTATCTCATTTCTCAAAGCTTCCTTGCACGCTATGCACAATACCCTGCTGGCTGCAACCCCCTAGTCAGTGACATGCTGGTAAATATTTAGCAACCAGCAATCTGGAAAAATAAGTCTTGGTTAATAGCATTTTCTAATTTCCATGATGTAATTACTCCTTCCACGGCTGATTTCAAGCTACCAACATGCTGTCAGTGAACACAGAGTGGGGAAGAGGTACTCAGAGGTGCTCAGCACAGTTTGTATAGTATTTCCACAATAGAGATAAAGTAAATGTAAATAAGGTCAAGAGTAGATAATAGTGAAATGTAGTAAAATAATTAGGAAGTAATGATTTTTTAGTATTTATTACCTTTGTTTTTAATATAATTTATTCAATTATAAGCTTATACAACTTAATATTTAATGACGGTCCATGTTTAACATCTGGCTCACAGAATTCCTAAAAGTTTGACAGTCAGCTCTTGTCAGCCTGAATGACCAGCTACACACTGCCCCACCCCAAACTCCACTTTATGTTAAAATTTTATTATTTTTATTAAAAATTAAAAAATTTTTAATATAATTTTTAAAGGCTACTTTCCATGTACAGTTATTACAAAATATTGATTATATTCCACCTGTTGTACAGTACATCCTTGAGCTATCTTACACCCAGTACTTTGTACCTTCCACCCCCCCACCCCATATTATCCCCCTGCCACTGGTAACCTCTAGTTTGTTCTCTGTATCTGTGACCCTGCTTCTGTTTTGTTTTATTCACTAGTTTGTTGTATTTTTCAGATTTCACATATAACTGATATCATACAGTATTTGTCTTTCTCTGTCTGACTTATTTCACTTAGCATAATGCCCTCCAAGTCCACCCATGTTGCTGCAAATGGAAAAATTTTGTTCTTTTTTATGGCTGAGTAGTATTCCATTGTGTGTGTGTGTGTGTGTGTGTGTGTGTGTGTATACACACTAAATATATATACATACACCACATTTATATATATGTGTGTGTATATATATATATATATACACACATACACACACCATATTTCCTCTTTTTTTTTTTTTTTTTTTTTGGCTGTACCATGTGGCTTGTGGGATCTTAGTTTCCCAACCAGGGATTGAACCTGGGCCCTCAGCAGTGAGAGCACGGTATTCTAACCACTGGACCACCAGGGAATCCCATATACCACATTTTCCTTATCCATTTATCTGTTGATGGACACTTAGGTTGCTTCTATGTCTTGCCAACCCCAAACTCTACTTTGATGCCCCTCAAGTCAGGGTGGAGTGGGCTTTCCCACCCTGGGTGCTCTCAGAAAAGGCCGTTTTCACCCCACCTCAGAGTTTTCCTAATTCCCCAGTCCTCAGAGACCTCTTGCTGTCCTGAGCTCTTTGGTACCTCTACTATCCCTCTGTTCCTCATCTTAGCCCCTCCCTTTTCATCTTACAGGTGGACAGGGTCATCGTCTTTGGCCAGACTACAAATGAGAAACTGATAAATGCAGCCAAACAGCTTTTCTGGCAACACGTGAATCCCAAGTGCCTCTTTGTTGGTGTTCTTCTAAGAAGGACAGGTTACCTGTAAGGGCGTTCACATTCCTTGCCCAGTGCCAGCAGATAGAGATCCATATTTCCCGTCTACCTCTACTAAAGCGTGGGACACTCGCACTCACCAGACCCCTCCCCATTTCTGTCTCTTACCTCTATTGCACTTCAAGTGCTAGAACCTTCTCTGAAGTCTTCAGGCTGGCTCCATACCCCTTCGTGATGGTCCACCCCAGTCCCAGCCTAGCACAGAACCCTATTAAAAGTGCACAGGTAGGGTGTCCATCCTAGGATGTTAGGGGCAGTGACTCTGTGTTCTTGGCACTGTTTCTGACTGGTAGTGACTACTCTTCCTTTACCAGATACACAGATTTGAATCCCAATGACGTGACACTCTCAGGCTGCACTGATGGGATACTGAAGTGAGTACAGGATGGACACTGGAGAGGTTGGGGGCTTTGTTAGAACATCTTTTAGAGATTATCTGTGGCCTCTGCTCTGTTCACTTCCTTTTTTAAAAATAAATTTATTTATTTTATTTTTGGCTGCGTTGGGTCTTCATTGCTGTGTGCGGGCTTTCTTTAGTTGCATCGAGCGGGGGCTACCCTTCGTTGCGGTGCACGGGCTTCTCATTGCGGTGGCTTCTCTTGTTGTGGAGCATGGGCTCTAGGCACACGGGCTTCAGTAGTTGTGGCACAGGGGCTTAGTTGCTCCGCAGCATATGGGATCAGGAATTCCTGGACCAGGGATCGAACCCATGTCCCCTGCATTGGCAGGCAGATTCTTAACCACTGCACCACCAGGGAAGTCCTCACTTCCTTTTTAAAAGCAAGATAAAAGTTTATTCCTCTTTTATAGCTGTCTAAGCATGGCAACAACACAGTATTACAGGGACCTGGGCATCTTCTATCTGTTGCTCTACCATCCTCAAATACTCTGCTTCCACCTCATAGTTCATGATGGCTGCTCCAGCTCCAGCCATTAGTTTTGTATTACATCTAGTAGGAAAGGAGAAAAGGAGACATGGGAGATTGTGCTGTTTGCTTTTAAGGGAACAACTCAAGAGTTGGTCACATCACTTCTATTCATTCTCTGTGGCCTCTGCTCCATTCCGTTTCAGAGGAAATTCCATGTTAACTTTATTTATTTATGCCAGATCCAGAAATCTTTTAACTTTGTTTTTCTTTCCGCTACTAGGGTTCCCATTTATTTGTTTTTTTCCCCTGCCTTTTCCTTTGGATGCCACCCATTGCCCCCTACTCCTGTTAGGAAGCCTCATACACTTCCCTCCCTCTCCAGGGAGCTTTCATGGCTGGTACTGAGCTGATCAAGCCCAGACTGGAATAACCTGAATCTTTACACCTTCATTCAGCCCAGTTGCCTCTGGCCCAACAGAAAGCCTATGATAACCACGCACACAGCAGAAGAGGCTCTAACTGGGTTTCATCTTTGTTCTTTCATTCCTGTGGTTCTGCTGCCTCGCTTATTTCAAGTCTACATTTACTGTTTATGGTCTTCTTAAGGAGCTCCAGTTAACTGGGTGAACCTAATCTTGCCATATCTTTGTCCCCTGCCCCCTTGGAAGATCTTCCTGATTCTCACTTTGCTATTTCGCTCTCATTTATTTTGTCACTCTTTATGACAGGTTCATTGCAGAGCGTGGGGCCTCCCGCCTTCTAGAACATGTAGGCCAAATGGACAAAATATTCAAGATTCCACCGCCCCCAGGGAAGACAGAGGTCCAGTCTCTCCGGCCACTGGAAGAGAATACTCCAAGCCCCTTGGCTCCTGTTTTCCAACGTGGGTCAGTCTGTGTTTTATGCCCCTGTGAATTGGGAGGGGCTTCAGTCGAAACCTAGAGAAACTCAGGAGACTGAAATTCTGACTGTAGAGATGCTGCTTGTTCTATTCGCTGAGGAATGCTTCCTCTTTCCCAGGTAGGGGTGTCTCTAACACAGATGGTGAGCATGCCTGTTTCTCTACTAGGGAAAGGGGTTAGGATGCGAGGCGCGTGGCAGGCACCAGGGCTCAGGCAGAGGGCTTAGGGGCGTAGGCTCTGGCTTTTCCATCCTGGCTTTGCCACATAGTAGCTTGAAACTTGGGCTAGTTGCTTGATGTCTTAAGCTGTAGTTCCTTGATCAGTACAATGGAGGTAATGCTTGTGCTTACCTCACAGCGCGGTCATGAGCATTTCACGGGCAGAGTGTAGGTGTGTAATAATTATTGCTGACACAGGAGGGGTGCCCGAGAAATGGCAAGTGGGTTCATTTATTTATTTTTGGCCACGCCGCGTGCCACGTGGGATCTTAGCTCTCTGAACCTGTGCCCCTTGCACTGGCAGTCCCCAGGTGGGGTTTAATTTCTAGGCTCTGCAGTTGAGGTTACAAGCAGGTTATTCTCTGGAGGCCTGCTGGACTCCCACCCTGCAGTCTGCTGTATCTGACTTCTCAGTGCTGAGGGGAGGTCACAGCCCCGCGTGTGGAGCTGGGCTGTGGGCTGATCCCTGGCTTTCCTGCAGATGGCGCAGCGTCCGCCTTTTCATTTCCTCCACTTTCCGGGACATGCATGGGGAACGGGACCTGCTGCTGAGGTCCCTGCTGCCAGCACTGCAGGCCCGAGCGGCCCCCCACTGCATCAGCCTTCATGCCATCGACCTGCGCTGGGGCGTCACTGAGGAGGAGACCCGTCGGAACAGGTATGGGGGCCACAGAGAAGAGGGGCTGGGTCGGCGAGGAGGGGCTTGAGTGGGGGAGCTGACCTGGGCAAGTGCCAAGGGTACGGGGTGCTCTTTGGATGCTATTGGTTGTGAGCCAGAGCCCCGTCTCCCTGACACGACGCCCCTATAACCATCCTTCAGGCAGCTGGAAGTGTGCCTAGGGGAGGTGGAGAACTCGCAGCTGTTTGTGGGCATCCTGGGCTCCCGCTATGGCTATGTTCCCCCCAACTACAGCCTCCCTGACCATCCTCACTTCCTCTGGGTAAGGCAGACAAGGTTGGGGCAGGGATGCGAGAAGCCTCGGTATGTCTAGAACCCTGGGACTCTGCACAGGCAGGTCCTTGAGACCTGAAGTGCAACACAGGTAGAAGGTTCTGTGAGTGATCAAGTCCTAGATGAGGGAATTCCTTTGGGAAATACCTCTGGGTTGGCCATGGGGTGCGAGAGGTAAGTTGTAGGGCTGATCAGGCTTTGCCGTCAGACAGAGCTGGGTTCTGATCTCCCTTCTGTCATTGTGCAGCGTTATGGAAAACGGTTTATCTTAATCTAGCCTCAACTTCTTCATATATTAAAGAGAAACAGTGATGTCTACAGTGCAGGGTTATTATAACAATTAGAAATCTACTTTAAAAATGCTCCACATGTGAAAGGCATTCCATCAACGTTAGCTATTAGCTATATTTTACTGGCTTGTATCTGGAGGGAGAGAGGAACATTACTGAGATGAAGGGGCCCTGGGGTCTTGGCAGGTCTCAGAGGAGGGGTTTGTGTGACCAGGACTGAACATGCCTGCTCTCTGGCCTCTCCCTGCAGGCCCAGCAGTACCCTTCAGGTCGCTCTGTGACGGAGATGGAGGTGATGCAGTTCCTGAATCGGGGCCTCCGCCTGCAGCCCTCTGCCCAGCCTCTCATCTACTTCCGGGATTCTAGCTTCCTCAGGTACCTTCTGTTGCCTCCAGGCCTCAGTCTCCAAAGAAGGCCAGACAGGCTCAGTGGACGTGTCTTCTGTCTGTAACATTCAGAGTACAAGAGGGGGACCTGGAATGGAGAAACAGGGACCAGAGGGCTTGCCTTGCAGCACCAAAGCAGCCTTGCAGGAGATCTCCACTTGAGGGGTTTCAGGGAACCACAGCGAGGTCTGGTGGTTGGGGACGGAGAGAGGCTGGGGTCTGAATCCAGCCCCGCTCTTGGGGTATCTTTGGTGGTCAGCTCTGTGCCAGATGCCTGGAAGTCTGACTTTATTTCTGAGTCTGAAGAGGCTGCCCATCGGCTCTCAGAACTGAAGAGCTACCTGAGCAGACAGGAAGGGATCACCTGTCGCAGGTGAGCTGGGAGAGGTAGGGAACACCTGCACGGAGCGAGGTGGTGAGGGGGCCCCGGCCCGCTGTGACCCTGCTTGTGCTCGCTTTTCCTGCAGATACCACTGTAAGTGGGGTGATGTAGCAGCTGGCCGGCCCTATGTTGGGGAGCTGGAGACGTTTGGGCAGCTGGTTCTGCAGGACGTGTGGAACATGATCCAGAAGCTTTACCTACAGGTCAGCAGGAGCTCTGGTGGCCAGGGGAGTGGAGAGGGGGTAGGCTGGGCCGGGTAGTCATGGGTGGGAGGTAACTTGGTGGGGGGCACAGTGAGTTTTAGGCCTCGGGTCCTGAGGAACATGGAAACATAGGTAGTCACTGCCCCATGCGTTCTCAGCCTGCGGCCCAGCTGGAGCAGCCAGTGCCCATCCAAGATGATGACTTGGTCCAGGCCGCCTTTCAGCAGCTGAAGAACCCACCGAGCCCTGCCCGACCGCGCCTTCTTCAGGACACAGTGCAGAAGCTGAGGCGCCACCGGGGGAGGCTGAGCCTGGTGACCGGGCAGTTGGGACAGGGCAAGACCACCTTCCTGGTACAGAGTCTCAGAGGCCTGGACAGGAAGGGAGGGCTGCGTGAGCTCAGGAGGGCTAAGGAGGTGGGAAACAGGAAGCTTGTGCATGTGAAATGTGACCATGTTTTCTGGTTTCTTCCCATGCAGGCATCTCTTGTGTCAGCCCTGCAAACTCCTGATGGGGCCACGGTGGCCCCCTTAGTCTTCTTCCACTTTTCAGGGGCCCGCCCTGACCAGGGTCTTGTCCTCACCTTGCTCAGACGCCTCTGTGCCTATCTGCATAGCCAACTGCAAGAGCCAAGTGCCCTCCCCAGCACATACCGGTGTGTTTCTCCCCGACTCAGCCCAGCCTTGTTGATAGCACGTGACACCACCCCTGCTGACCTTGGTCCTCCTCCTGCACACACAGGGGCCTGGTGTGGGAGCTACAGCAGAGGCTGCTCCCCAAGTCTGCTCAGTCCCTGAAAACTGGCCAGCCTCTGGTGCTGATCATTGATGGGGCTGACAGGTTGGTGGACAAGCGTGGACGGCTGATCTCGGACTGGATCCCTAAGACCCTTCCCCGGGTAAGTGTGAGAAGGAGGTGGGGTGGGATGCAGTAGGGAGAGGGACCTCTCCAACAGCGTTCTCCTCCTTTTCCTTCAACGTTTTTACCCTGTTGCCCAAATCCCACAGTGGGTGCACCTGGTGCTGAGTGTGTCCAGTGATTCCGGCCTGGGGGAGACACTCGAGCAGAGCCAAGGTGCCCACGTGGTGGCCCTGGGGCCTCTGGAGCCATCTGCCCGGGCCCGGCTGGTGCGAGAGGAGCTGGCTCTGTACGGGAAGCGGTTGGAAGAGTCACCTTTCAACAACCAGGTTGGGTGTAGGCCAGGGCAGGTGGGCGTGTGGGGTGAATCTAGGAGCTGGGAGAACCCTGGGTGCTGAAGCTAGCAGCTGCCCCACACAGACCAGCTCCTTCATTTTCTCAGCCGAGGGAAGTTGTCAATAAGTTAACTGCGATTCCCTATAATGTCACCCATTCCTTTTCTCGTGGTGAATGGCCTCTCCAGGGCCTGTCCGGGCGAGGGGAGGAGAAAGCTGTGGCTGTCGAATGGGGTAGGCTGAACCGCGGGGGGTTTTCTGAAATCGCGGCTGGCTGGCTAGAGCAGTGCGGGGCAGGGATGGCTGTGTCCTGAGGTGATGCCAGGGGTCTCTTCCCCGGTGGGGCCTCTGAGAGGAGAAGCTGCCCCGCACTGGGCTTGGTGCCAGGACGGAGGGCAGGGGGTGGAGGGCTGGCTGTGGCCAGGCTCGCTGGTCCTGTGCTGAGTCCTCTGAGTCTTCAGATGCAGCTGCTGCTGGTGAAGCGGGGCTCAACCCTGCCGTTCTACCTGCGCTTGGTCACTGATCACCTGAGGCTCTTCACGCTCTTTGAGCAGGTCAGTGGAGGACGTGAACGCTCTCTCTTCATCTTCGAAGTCCTAATCCCACTTCTCAGTCTCCATTCAGCCTCTTTCTCCCACCCTCATCCTTTGCCATCTTGTGATCACCCATTCCTCATCCACACCCCCAAGCCCTGCTTCTCTCCCACCAGCGTTGCTCTTTCCTTGTCATCCCTTCGCATTTTTTTCCCTGATGTCCCCTCCCCTACCCACAACCAAAGCTGCTTCTCCCCCTCCCCTCACTGACTGAGGCCCCTCCCTGTCCCCTCCCAGGTGTCTGAGAGACTCCGGACCCTGCCCGCTACCGTCCCTCTGCTGCTGCAGCACATCCTGGGCACCTTGGAACAAGAGCATGGCCCTGATGTCTTTCCCCAAGCCTTGGCCACTCTTGAGGTCACCCGCAGCGGTCAGTACTTGGAGTGGGCTCAGGGGTTGCATGACCTTCAGTTCGGTTGGGGCCTCAGCAAGCGGTACAAGGAGGGACTAGGTGTCATGGGGGCGGGTGCGTTGCGTGGTTTAGGGCCTCAGAGAGCTTGGGTTTTTAGGTCTGACCGTGGACCAGTTGCATGGAGTGTTGAGTGCCTGGCGGATACTTCCCAGGGGGGCCAAGACCTGGGAAGAAGCAGTGGCTGCTGGTAACAGCGGGGACCCCTACCCCATGGGTTCGTTTGCCTACCTCGTCCAGAGTCTGCGCAGGTATAGGTGCCCCCAGCTGAGCTCCCACTGACTTCTGTACCTCCCTGTCTTTGAGCGAGGGCCCCATGTGATCCTCCCTTCATCCTACCCTTCCCTCCGTATAGCCCCTGACACTTGTCTCCCAGACCCTGAATGGCTGTCACTCAAGTTACCACTGTTTGAGGTGGGAATGGGAACCCACAGCTGTGCCAGATGCTCACTTACAGGCCTCCTCCCTCTTGTCCTGCCTTCTCTCCCTCACACGGGATCAGTTTGCTAGGGGAGGGACCCCTGGAGCGCCCTGGTGCCCGGCTTTGCCTCCGTGATGGGCCCCTGAGAACAGCCGCTAAATGTCGCTATGGGAAGAGGCCAGAGCTGGAGAAGACGGCACACATCCTCATCGCAGGTGACTGCAGCCCAGTGAACCCCCGGGACACTGACTGTGGGACCTGGTACTCCACATCGGCTGGCCCCCTCACCTGCTACCCCAGGGGGTGGATGGCTCTTGCAGTAGCCTGAGGTATGTGATCTTTGGAGATGCTTCAGGGCCGAGCCCGTCTCAGTGCCTGTTCCTGTGACCCACACCTGCAGCTCAGCTCTGGAAGACGTGTGACCCTGATGCCTCAGGTACCTTCCGAAGTTGCCCTCCTGAAGCTCTGGGAGACCTGCCTTATCACCTGGTTAGTCCCCAGATCCTATAGGCACCCTCTCCCAAGGAACTTCTTTGGCTCTTCTGAGACCCCTCTCCCCCATGACCACCACCATCATCTCCACTGCCGTTATCACCCCCACCCCCTTCCCAAACTCCGTGTACCTTTCTCCTTTCAGTTTTCCTGCCCTCGTCCTTCAGGTCCTTTGTCCCAGCTCCTAAGTCTAGGTCTTAGCTGCACAGGCAGGGTCCAAGACTAGACGGTCCCTCCTCACCAGCCTCATCACATCCCTAATGAATCCAGTCTGACTTTCCCAGCTCCAGAGCGGGAACCGTGGCTTTCTTGCAAAGTTCCTTACCAGTCTCCACGTGGTGGCTGCACACCTGGAACTGGGTCTGATGTCTCAGCTCCTGGAGGCCCATGCCCTCTATGGTGAGATGAGTTACTGGGTGGAGTCTTCTCCAAGCAGTGGCTCCTGGGTGTGTTCATGGGGGGCGGCCTGCTCGGAGGGAGGTGTAATGGAAAGAACAGTTGAATTTCTGTTCCAAGGTGAAAAGGCAAGAGGGTAAGCATGTGATTCTTGGGAGACCTTTTGCTTAGGTCTCTTAAACCAGAGGCTCTCACACTTTATTTAGTGGGCATACAATTACTTGGGAAACTTGTTGAAACTGCTGATCCCTGCGTCCCCAGATTCTGGTTTCCTAGGTCTGGAGTGGGACCCAAAGCTTCGTACTTTTAACAGATGTTCCTGATGTGGGACCAGAGGGCCACACCTTGAGACTTAGCATTTTAGACATATCATATGATTGACTTGGTGCTGGGGTTAATGGGGGTCCAGGCTGGCTCCCCAGTGACACCCCACATCTCTTCTATAGCTTCCTCAGTCCCTGACAAGGAACAGAAGCTTCCTGAGGCTGATGTTGCTGTATTTCACACCTTCCTGAGGCAGCAGGCTTCAGTCCTCAGCCAGTACCCACTGCTCCTGCACCAGCAGGCAGCCAACCAGCCTCTGTACTCGCCCCTTTGCCGCCAGGCCCCCCAGCTCTCCCAGCGATGGCACCTCCAGCGCATGCTACGTTGGCTTAATAAACCCCAGACCCTGAGGGGCCAGCAAAGGTAAAACCCTTGACCCCAGATGCTGGCAAACCCGCCAGAGAGCAAGCTGCAGCCCTCTCTGAAACTGGAGAGTAAAGAACAGACCGCAGTCACCATGGAGAGGGGGGTTCAGGCCCAGAAATGCAGAAACGAATTCCCATCCTCTTCCTTCCCCTCATTCCTCATCTCCTCCCTTTCTTGCTGTTCTTCCTCTAGCTCCAGCCTGTCCCTGGCAGTTTTCTCACCCCCCACAGCTGCGGCCTTCTCCCCCAATGGGCAAAGAGCAGCTGTGGGCACTGCCAGTGGGACGGTTTACCTGTTGGACCTGAGAACCTGGCAGGTACGGCACACAAGGCGGGGTGGGATTTACCTTCAGAAGAGCCTCACGTCCTGCCCCGAAGCCCGAGGCAAGCCAAACCCACCAGTTACCACCCTGTTTGATTCGGCACTATACTAAACACTGCAAGGAACACAGGGCTTAGGACATTGTCTTTGCCCACCAGGTGGTCAGTTTTGTTGAAAAACAAGGCATACAAGGTAAAAAAGGAACCAAAACATAGCCATGTGGCATAGGTAAGAGCTAAGTGAGTTGTGCAGTTACTGGAGGACGTAGGATGGAGACGGGGAGGCGTTCCGGGTTGAGTGAGGAGCCCGGGCGAAGATGCTGCGGGGATGTTCCCTGTAAGTTGCTGAGAATAACGGCAGCAGGCGGTAGTACAGTAGGCGGGAGAGGTGGGCTCTGCAGCCACAGCCGCCATCTCTTCTACCCATGTCAGTGCCCCCCGCCCCCCATAGGCGTGTGTGTGACGTCATTCCCGCCTCAGAAGCACCAAACCTTCTGTGACTCGGGGTTACGTACGGGGTTCGAAGTGAGGGGGACGATGTGACCTCACTTGGATCAGGAGGTCCCACTTGAAGCTGTTCGAGCTTGGCCTAGGTCTGGAGTAGGGCCCGAAGCTTTGCACTTTTCACAGGGGCTCCTGCTGTGGGACCAGAGGGCCAGAGTTTGAGACGTAGCAGGGAGTGTAGAGAGCTAAGGGCTCCAGCCCTTCTAGCCATTGCCTCCTTCCTGGTTGGGGCTTGGAGTGGCTGGATGTGGACTGGTCAGGGGCGTGTCCTGAGTGCGCTTCCCCGCTCACTGTCACAGGAGGAGAGGTCTGTGGTGAGTGGCTGTGATGGGGTCTCCTCTTGTTCGTTCCTCTCCGACAACGCCCTCTTTCTTACTGGCTTTGACGGGCTCCTGGAGCTCTGGGACCTGCAGCACGGCTGTCGGTGAGGGGCCCCTCACGTCTCTGCGTGAGGGCCGTCCCTGTTTGTTGGAAGCCCAGGGGGAGGGGGACGAGGAGGGAGCCTGTGGCCGGGGGGCCCCCTGACCTTGTCTCCCTGGGGAAGGGTGCTCCAGATCAAGGCTCACCAGTACCGGATCACCGGCTGCTGCCTGAGCCCAGACGGCCGGCTTCTGGCCACCGTGTGCCTGGGGGGAGGCTTGAAGGTAAGGACCAGGGGACTGTGGTGGTGCAAGCAGCCCTGAACTCGGGGTCAGCCCTGTGAGATCGTTCTCCTCAGTGCGGCAGAGGCTCCGGCTGCTTGGCCTGCTGAGGGCAGGGGACTGGACAAGGTGGCCCCTGGAGCTCTGGGACTGAGCGGCTCAGACATCTATGTCCAGCACCGAGTCCTCCTCCCCTTCTCTCTCGTCCAGCTGTGGGACACGGTCCGCGGGCAGCTGGCCTCCCAGCACGCCTGTCCCAAGCCCCTCAACTGCATCGCTTTCCACCCAGAGGGGCAGGTGATAGCCATTGGCAGCTGGGCTGGCAGTTCCAGCTTCTTCCAGGTGGATGGGCTCCAAGTCACCAAGGTGAGAGGAGCCGGGTGGCCCTGGGGAAGGAAGCACGGGAGGGTGGGAGTGGAGGGCGGGAAATGGCGGACACCTGCATCCTGGGTCACTCTTAGTTTGGGTTGAGAGCAGGGCCCTGACGTTCCAGTTTCTACCTCTCCATGCAGGAGCTGGGGGCCCCAGGAGCCTCTGTCCGTGCCTTGGCCTTCAGTGCGTCTGGGCGGGCTGTAGCTGTGGGCCGGCTGGACGGGATGGTGGAGCTCTGGGTCTGGCAGGAGGGGACACGGCTGGCTGCCTTCCCTGCGCACCACGGCTTTGTTACTGCCGCCCTTTTCCTGCGTGCTGGATGCCAGTTACTGACGGCTGGAGAGGATGGCAAGGTCAGGTTACAGAGGGCTGGCGGTGGGCTATGAGGAGGGGTTGCAAAGGTGTGGGACTATTTGGGGGAGGGTGGCGCCTTTGACGAGGAGTCTGGAGGAGCTTGTGCTACGGGGAGGGGGTGCGGTGTGTGCACAGTAGCTCTTGGGGACGAGTCTCTGGAAGGAGGACTTTAATGGGGGGTGGGTTATCTTTAAGCCCCTTTCTTGGCCCTCAGGTTCAGGTGTGGTCCGGGTCTCTGGGTCGTCCCCGTGGGTGCCTAGGTTGCCCCTCTCTCTCTTCTGCCCTCTCCGTGGCCCTCAGCCCAGATGGCGATCAGGTGGCTGTTGGGTACCGAGCAGATGGCATTCGGATCTACACAATCTCTTCAGGTACCGGAGGGAGAAGGGTTGGAGTGTCTGAGCCTGGAAAGGGCCCCTCTCCCCCAACTCTGGCCCTCTTTCTGAGCGTCTTACTCTGTTGTTGTCCCTCATTCTCTAGGTTCCCAGGGGGCTCAGTGTCAAGCGCTAGATGTGGCAGTGTCTGCACTGGCCTGGCTCAGCCCTAAGGTGTTGGCGAGTGGTGCAGAAGATGGGGCCCTGCAGGGCTGGCTGCTCCAGGGAGGCTCCCTTCAGTCCCTCTGGCTCTTGTCCACACACCGGAAGCCTGTGCTGGCACTGGCCACGTCCCAGGAACTCTTGGCTGCTGCCTCAGGTACGGCTGGGCAGTGGGCATGGACAGGGTCGTGAATCACTGTTCCTTTCAAATGTGCTAACACCTTTCTTCAATTTGTATGTATATGTGTGCATGAAAATACACACACCTATATAGCTTTTTTTTTTTTATAACTTGCAAAGTGTCACCCTTTGAGTTTCTGCCTAGTGGGGGATTTTGCTGTGTAAAAGGGATGGGTCTCCCTTAGGAGAAGAGAGAGACGTTAAGGTGAAAATGGCCTTAGTCCTGTCTAGGTAAGAGGCTTGTTCAAAGTGACACTGTGCACTTTAGGAGAGGAGGGTGTGGCGGTGCAGTCGGGAGTTAGAAGGAGACGGCCGCAGAGCCAGAGCTGGGAGTGCCTGGCATTCCTGCCCTGTGCCTCACATGGTGAATGATCCTTGTCCAGGGCCTGGGTGGGACTCACGGCGTCGCTCCCTTGGAGCTGTGCCCTCAGACATCACCTTCAGCCCCCATGATTCCCTTTGTCTCTGGCCTCCCAGGCCTGTGTCACTTCCTCTTTCAGAAAATCTTCCTGTCTCCCCATTTCTAATGCAGAGGACTTCACAGTGCGTCTGTGGCCAAGGCAGTTGCTGGCACTGCCACAAAAGACAGAAGACTTTCCCTGTGGCACTGAGCTCCGGGGACACGAGGGCCCCGTAAGCTGCTGTAGCTTCAGCACCGATGGATGCAGCCTGGCCACCGGGGGCAGGGATCGGGTGAGCTGCAGGGCCCTCCTCCCCGTGGGCCCCCAGCCCCTCTGGTCCTGGATTCTTGAGCAGCTCACTTCCCACTGCTTCCTCCAGCTTTTTGCTTTGCTCAATGGCCTGTACGGGATCTGTCCACCCGTCCTCCTCTGACATTCCCTCTTTCCTTGAAACCTTTTGCCTGAGATGGCTCTGGTGTCCTGTGGTCCTGATGGCTTCCTCTCTTGGGGCCTGTCCAGAGTCTGCTCTGCTGGGATGTGAGGACACCCAAAGCCCCTGTTCTGATTTGCTCCTTCTCTGCCTGTCACCGAGACTGGGTTACTGGCTGTGCCTGGACCAAAGACAACCTCCTGGTGAGTGAAGGGGTGGGGGGGGGCGTGGCACAAAGCTCAGCAGGGTTCCTGGGGGAGGACAACATATCCCACCTCATCCTGTTCCTAATACCCATTTATAATATAGTATATGATTTTCTAACACCCAATATAATAGCTCACATTTATTGAGCACTTAGTATGTGCCAGACATTGGACTAAGCCCTTGGCATATATGGCCTCATTTAGTCTTTACAACACCCTGTAAAGAAGATAGTACTATTCTCTCTATTTCATAGACAAGGATATCGAGCTCAGCTAGATTAAAGACCATTTCCAGGGTCATGTAAGTGAAGAAGCTGAGCCAGTAAACTTTATGATAAGAAAGCCCATGCTCTTAACAAGAACACAGAACTGTCTCCCCAAGGGCTTAGGATGCCCTGTGTCTGCAGGTAAAGGTAGTGCTATGATTTCTTTGGTCCTAAGTGAAAAATGGGTCTCAAATTATGCACTCAACGTTGGTAAAGCCTAGTTTTCCAATGCAGAGTCCCTGTTCTCAAAAAGAAACGAGTAGCAATTGAATAGACTTATCATTGTCTGTCCTACCCCTGACTTCTAGGCAGCCAGATCTCTCCTGGGCGTTGCAGACTTCTCACCTTTGTCGGGGTGAGAGAAAGTTGTTGTTGACTGACATTATGTTAATAACAAGGACAATAGCCACTATTTATTCAATGCTCACTATGTACCAGGCATCCTGCTAAGTCCTTTACGTAGATGCTTCAGCCCCATATCAGTAGGTACACTGTCATTATCCTAGTTGAACAGATGAGAAGCCTGAGGCCCAGAGAGATGAACTGGCCCCAGGTCACCAAGCAATGAATGGTGGAACTAGGATTTGAACCCAGGACAGCCCTTGCTGTTAATCACAAGGCTTACCGCCCTCCACCCTACGTTATAAGTATAGAGAAATGCTGGAGGGATGCTGATTATTCCACTCCTCTGCCCTCTGACTCTGCAGGTCTCCTGCTCCAGTGATGGCTCTGTAGGGCTGTGGGACCCAGAGTCGAGACAGCAGCTTGGTCAGTTCCTGGGTCACCAGAGTGCCGCGAGCGCCGTGCTGGCCGTGGTGAGAAGGCAGTGGAGAGCTCACTGGGGGTCCCTGGGAAGGTTAAGGGGGCTTTGGGAGACTGGATGCATTGCGTATCTAATCCCAAAGGCAAAAGGAGTATAAAGAGTGAGATGCTTGGGCTTCCCTGGTGGCGCAGTGGTTGAGAGTCTGCCTGCCAATGCAGGGGACACGGGTTCATGCCCCGGTCCGGGAAGATCCCACATGCCACAGAGCGGCTGGGCCCTTGAGCCATGGTCGCTGAGCCTGCGTGTCCGGAGCCTGTGCTCCGCAATGGGAGAGGCCACAGCAGTGAGAGGCCAGCGTACCACAAAAAAAAAAAAAGTGAGATGCTTGGGCCTGAATTAGAGCAGGATTAGGGTATTGAGGCTGAAAGTTGGTGTGAGGGGAGGGAGAGCATGAAAACACAGTATCTCAGTATCATGACCTTGTGGCATGATGGAAGTCCTGAGCCTCCCAGCCCCACTATCTGGGGTGTCCTCATTCTTTGACATCTTCTAGGCCCTTAATACTGAGCCCACACCTCTGTGGCGGGAGTCGTAATTCCCATGTCCAACTCAGTGTGACTCTTCTCTTATCCTGTGCTCTGGGGCAGGAGGGGCACGTGGTATCTGTGGGCCGAGATGGGACCTTGAAAGTGTGGGACCATCAGGGTGTGGAGATGACCAGCATCCCTGCTCACTCAGGACCCATCAGCCACTGTGCAGCTGCCCTGGAGCCCAGTGCAGGTAATGAAATGTCAGCCACCTTCCCGTCCCCGCTGCCTGTTCCCTTCTCCCCTTCTCCTGACTCAGTTTCTGTATCTTATCAGCTGGCCAGCTGGGGTCAGAGCTTCTGGTGGTAACTGTGGGATTGGATGGGGCCACACGGTTGTGGAATCCACTCTTGGTGAGTTCCCTGAAAGGCCTTGGGTGGGGGCAGTGGAGAGGGTATGATGGTACAGCGTCCTGTTGTGTCACCTCCCCACTGTGCCATCTCCATCCTTTCCTCCTAGGTGTTTCAAACACACACCCTCCTGGGACACAGTGGCCCAGTCAGTGCAGCTGCTGTTTCAGAAACCTCAGGCCTCCTGCTGACTGCCTCAGAGGATGGTTCCATACAGCTCTGGCAGGTACCTGAAGAAGCAGGTGAGGTGTGGAGAGACTCAAGGTGTGAAAGGGGGGTGTGTTTGTCGGACCAAGAAGGTCAAGGGTAGCCTGCTATCTCCTCTTGTATCCCAACAGTGGTCCAGCTCCTAATGAATCACTTCCTTTCTTCTCCAGATGACACATATATACCCAGGAGTCATGCAGCCATCACTGCTGTGGCCTGGGCCCCAGACGGTTCTATAGCAGTGTCTGGGAATCAAGCTGGGGAACTCACCCTGTGGCAGGAAGCTAAGGCTGTGGCCACAGCACAGGTGAGTTGGGTCAACTTCAGTTCTTTGTTTATGTGAATTCTGCCCTGGCTATGTATCTGATGGTATGTGCCGGGGTTAGAGGTTGCGTAGACGCCTGGGATGGGGAAGAAGGTTAATCCTGGTTCCTCAGAAATACTGAAATAAACTTGTATTCACTAGGCTCCAGGCCGCATCAGTGCTCTGATCTGGTACTCAGCACACACCTTGATTGTTGTCAGTGCTGATGAAAAAGTCAGTGAGTGGCAAGTGGAACTGCAGAAGGGTTCAGCACCCAGAAATTTCAGGTGAAATGAGGCGGCTGGGTTAATGAATACAGTTACATCTGGGATTTTGCTCAAATCACTCCCTTCTACTTCTGAACTAGGTCAATAGGATGTTAGTAAGCAGGAAAAAGTCACTGGGAAATTGTTTTCTGCTCATCTTGTCAATTTAAGTAATAATTATCAAGTGCCTACTTTATGCTAAGCTCTGGGCCAGGCAGTGTGAACCAGATTGAAATTAATTTTTAACTAAGGGAGCTCACAGTACAGGAATGTGCACATAAGTAAACTGCCAACAATATGCAGAGTGATTACTGCTATAATAAAGATATATATATATTTATATATATATATTTTTTATATACATATATGTAAAATTCCTGGGGCTGCAGAATTTAAGACATTTACTGATTACAAAAGAGTTGCTATTTGAGATTGGGCTTAGAGGATGAGTAGGAGTTTTCTGAATCAGAAAGGGAAGGGAATGGTGTTTTAGGAAGAGGAGGTAGCATTAACAAAAGGCATGGAGGCATGAGAGTGCGTGGTGTGTTCTGAGTATAGCTCAGTCTTTGGGTTCTTGGTGCGAGTGGTGGTGGGGAATTGGGTTGAAAAAATAAACTGGGGCCAAGCTGTAGAGGGCACAGTGCTAAGAATTTTGAGCAGAATAATTATCTGAATTTTAGAAAGAGAACTCTAGTGGCCACACGGAGGATGGTTAGTAGTAGAGAGATACTAAACGTAGGGCGACCACATTTACAGCTGATGCTCTAGTCCAGGGAAGACAGAACGTGAGCCCTGACCTGGGCAGTGGGGATGAAAAGGAAAGATAAAGATTTAGGCATGTGTTGCCAGTAGAGTCCACAGTGCTTATCAATCAATTGGAGGTCAGGAGGGAAGGAAAGGACAGGAATGTTAGAGATTCCTGGTTTGAGCAGATAAGGTGATGATGGTATGATGAATACTAATATAACAAAAACAGAAAGAGGAACACAATTTGTAGGGATGGTGATATATTTTGTTTTATACTTTCCTCCTGAGGAATTCATGGGGAACTGAGAGAGGCGGACTAAGGTAGAATCTTTCTCTGTCCATGTATCCCTTTTTGCGCTATAGTCTTCACCTGAACCGAATTCTGCAGGAGGACTTAGGGTTCCTGACAGGTGTAAGTCTGGTCCCTGACGGTCACTCCCTCATCTTGGCCAAAGCAGATTTGCAATTACTGCACATGAAGCCAGGTGATGAGCCCTCTGTAATCTGGTAAGATCCAAAATGTTTTCTCTTGGGCTGGAGAAAAGAGGAAAAGTGGGTTAGTGGCTACCCTGAGTTTGGGTCTAACTAGAACAAACATTGGGGTCATACGGAGAGGTGTTCCTGGGCTTAGCCTCTTTCTTTCTTATCAACCAGGAGAAGCTATTCAGAAGATCCTATAATGTTGTCCACCCACCAGGACTATGGTGTGTTTGTCCTGCAGTCAATGAACCTCAGAGTTCTTTCTTTCTCAGTAAGTTCTGTCTGGGTGTGTGTTAAAACAAACATTTGTCCAGGACCAATGTTTTAAAGCCTTGGGGCCATGATGGAGGATAAGAGGAAGGAAGGGAAAAGCAGTTGGTTCCAAATCCCCTTCTCTTCCTTCAACTATAGCTCTACTTAAGAGCATTTTATATTGGGTTTCCCTATAAGATTTCATTGATACTAAAAAGGATTCTAGTGTTTAAAAGAATCGTGGGAAACGATAAACCTAGTTGTTTTCATTGCATTTTCTTCATATCTGTCTTGTCTTGCCACTGTGAGTATTAGCAGTGTCTTGAACAGTACAGATATATATCGTAGACATTATGTTGGGCGAAAGAAGCCAGACACAAAAAACTACATATTACATGATTTCACCTAAATGAAGTTCAAGAACAAGCAAAAGTAATTTATAGTGACAGAAGTCAGAATATTGTTAGCTCTGGGGGTGGTGATACTCTGGTATTGACTGGGAAGGGGCGTGAAGGCGACTTTCCAGGGTGATGGAAATGTTCTACATCTTGATCTGGACAGGGATTACATGGATGTATACACATGTAAAATTTTATCAAGATGTCCATTTAAGATTTGTGTATTAGTACTTTCCTGTACCTAGGATACGATTTTGAAAAATCTTGACCAGCCCAGAGCAGAAAAGAGTTGCTTTGTCTGGGTAGCAGTAAGTGATACAAGTAGGCTAATCAAAATGATCTATCCTTTCACAGAGCCAAAAGGAATTAGGAGAGTTTTCAGAGTGCCCAGAATTTGATCTGAGCTTAGAGAATCCTAATAAGACCCTCATATCGGTAACTCAGGCCAAACCTGAATCTGGTGAGTGGTGATGGGAGGGCCCAAGGAATCCAGAGGTGGCCTAGGGGAGGATGGTGGATCCTTCAAAGTCTAAGACCTGGCTCAAACTCTGCCCTTGAAATGGCAGAGTCCTCATTTTTGTGTGCCAGCTCTGATGGGACGCTGTGGAACCTAGCTAGATGCAATGTTGAAGGAGAATGGACCACAGATAATATCTGGCAGGAAAAAGTAGAAATGCCTGAAACCCGAACTCCAGAGACAGATGCGTGTGTATGTGCTGACACGTATACCTGTCCAGCAGTCCCACAGCTAAAGACACGGCAGCGTAGAAAGGTGAGTTTGAGGGAAAGGTCACAGACGTTGGGGAGGAGGCTCTAGGTCTGACCCAGCAGACTTCTCTGCTTCCTTGTCTGAGGAGGGTCCACTGAGAACTCACCACACCTCTTCCCCTCCCTCCCTAAGATTCACACAGGCTCTGTCACAGCCCTCCACGTGCTGCCTGAGTTGCTGGTGACAGCTTCAAAGGACAGAGATGTTAAACTGTGGGAGAGACCCAGTATGCAGCTCGTAAGTGTGTGTGTGTGTGTGTGTGTGTGTGTGTGTGTGTGTGTGTGTGTAAGGAGGGCTAAAGGGATGTCATAGAGCAAACTTGGGGTAAGAAAGGGCAAAAGATCAAGACTGTGTTCTTCTGTCCTTCTTGCAGTAATGTGCAACTAACCTGTTTCTAAACAAAAGTCATTGGTGTGAGACAAATAAGTAAGGAGGCCCTAGGCTTGTAGCCCACATCTCCCGTTTTTGTTCCCATTGTAGCTGGGCCTGTTCCGATGTGAAGGGGCAGTGAGCTGCCTGGAACCTTGGCTGGGTCCTAACTCTGCCCTGCAGCTCGCAGTGGGAGACACACAGGGCAATGTATACTTTCTGTCCTGGGAATGAAGATCACTGCTCAGGGCAAAGAGACCGCTTGTGCTAGAGATGCAAAGCCTGAAGACACCGGTGGCTACGTTCTTGATACAATTATATAAATAAAAGGTGGGAAAATCTCACATGCAGTCCTGCCTGTGTTCTTAATGTGGATTTGGACCAAGAGGGAAGAATATGAATGTTCTTATGTTTCTTTTCTGATTTAACATTAATCCTTACCAGAACTGCAAGAAAGTGAACCAGATCTCCAGTATTCTTTGAAATTATGCTTTAGAATTCTTGTGTCATTTTCTGGCCCCAGGACCGTAAGGTATGACTCCTACCAGGAGGAGGAATGAAAGTGATGTTGACCAGCACTTAGTTTGAACAGAAATCTGAAGACCTCTCACTTGTTCAAGGAAGAGGAAGAGAAGGAAGAATGAGTCACTTGGGCCCTGGTTCAGGGTATTTGGAAAGAACTGGGATAGAACCAGGACAACGCTAGGTTCCTGTCACAGAAGCAGCCCCATCTACTCAGAGCCAACTGCCCAGGTGAGAGGTGAGAAGCCAGGGCTCTGAGAGCAGAACGTGTCTTCTGGCTTTCACAGCCTCTGACAGGGCAAGCGGCAGCCACTTGACTTGGAAGCATTAGTCAGTATAGTAATTTGCATTCTTGGAGGAGATCACAAAAGGGTATCTCTCTCAAATTGAAGTTCATAAAGATAAAATGAGTTGAAAGGTGGAACAATGCCTACACATGGACTTGCTGTGGACTGTGACCCTCTTAAGTAAACTGTGACCCTCTTATTTTCCTATAAGTCTGTTTTATGGGAGAGGAAGTTCCCTGAGGCCCTTTCTTTCTAAGGGTTAAGGAAGGGTTAAGGGTCTTCGGTGTCCAAGAAGTCAAGGACTTGTGTATGATAAGCCAGAGCTATTACAGGATTTTATCCTGGGTTGGTAGGGTTCTCTCAGAGACATATCACTGCACTCTGGTCTAGAGTTTTCTGGATTTAGGGAGTTGAGGGGTACTCAGTTTCATTCTTACTTTGCCCTGATTCCAGATTTTATGTGGAGAAATCACCTGAAGGACTTTATCTTATTTCTACCAATGCCTCATATTCTCTCTCAGCCTGAGGATAAAGACATAAGGAATGCCATCAGCTGATAAGTTTTAATCGTAGGTCATGCTTCTATCTTTTCTCCCATGCCTCATGCAGGGCTCTAAATATACCTTCTAGACTACCTGCTCTACATGAACCTTGTGACTAGAAGTCCAAGTTAAGGTAATTTGAAACTTATGATTCATACTACTACCCAGAAATGCTACAGAGAACCATGGCACAGCATCATCCTGGAAGTCACTGGTTTCAATCTTTTGCCTTTTGTTCCCCTGAAAGCATGGGCCAAGGAAGGAGGAAGCCCTAGATGTCTGTCTTCCATGCTCTAAAAATTCTACAAAGGCACCCCAGCAGAGGAAGGAGGAGTGGGGCTGGAGAAAGTAAAGCATACCTTGCTCAGTAGACTCAGCTCTGTTTACCAGGTCCACCTGAAGGGTGTGATCTTTCTTATCTTGGAGATATAATTGCTATGAGTGAAGAACAGGTTCTAGGTAACAGTAAATATGTCCCCAAGGGAGTTGAAGGGAAAATCAGTTTAGGTTTTACGTTAAATATTTTCTGAGTTCTTATCATTAAACAATTTCAGTGTCTCCCAGTGCCTGGATGAGTTCAATTATAGTCACTGGATTATAGGATCATAGGACATTGGAACAGTCTTCTTCAACCCACAGAAGCACCTTTTTCATGTGTCAGTTTTTAACATCTGTTTTTACACATCTGTGCAGTTTGGGTTTTTTTGTTTGTTTGTTTTGGCCATGCCCTGCGGCTTGCAGGATCTCAGTTCCCTGACCAGGGAATGAACCTGGGCCACAGCAGTGAGAGCCCAGAATCCTAACCACTCGGCCATTGGGGAAGTCTCACCACAATTTGTTTTTGAAATCTAGAACATATCTATTCAAAGCTTGGTTTGTGGGCTTCCCTGGTGGCGCAGTGGTTGAGAGTCCGCCTGCTGATGCAGGGGACGCGGGTTCGTGCCCCGCTCTGGGAAGATCCCACATGCCGCGGAGCGGCTGGGCCCGTGAGCCATGGCCGCTGAGCCTGCGCGTCCGGAGCCTGTGCTCCGCAACGGGAGAGGCCACGACACAAAAACAAAGTTTGGTTTGTGGACCAGTGCTGTTCCACAAATTCTTGATGGTTCATTTTCCTGGTACTTCATTTTTATTATATTTTACGAAAGTATTGTTCCATGACAGGTCAGAAATTTGTTTTAACAAGACTGCTTCCCTTTCCCCATCTGTAAAATAGGCATAATAATATTGCCTATTTTTTAGGGATGTTGTGAGGATTAAATGAGTTAAAACATGTGAAACACTTAGAACAGTAGTTGACACTTACATGGTAAATGTTCAGGAAGTGCTTGACTGTTCTTTTCCTTATCCACTAGTGCAAGTATCACCTTGTTATTCTTTCTCAAAAATGTCTTGGTTATTGGTATATATTTAATCAGATGAAATCTGGACTCAATTTTTCATTTAAAAAATATATATATGGGGAACTGATAGAATTTTTAAAAAAGAAAAAAACCCCACTTGTTGGCTGTAAATCTACCTGGAAATAAAACACATTACTTCCACTCATATTTTATATATGTGAGCAAAGCAAGTCACACGGCTCTGCCTATTGTCAAAGCGGAGGGAAGTGTCATCCTACCATGTATCTGGAAGAACTAGGAACCAGATACACAGTTATACCCTCAAAGAACCTGTGTTGATGCTTTTCCAGTAGAATGGCTCTTAGTCCTTTTTTTAAAAAGATCAGTTAAGATTTACACAGAATATTCCCACATACCCTTCTTCACCCAGCTTCCTCTAGTGTTAACATTTTACATAACCAAAAAATTAACATTGATACAATATTATTAACTACATATGTGATTCGATTTCCTCAGTTTTTCCACTAATATCTTCATTTTGTTCCAGGTTCAATCCAGAATACCACATTGCATTTAGTCATTATGACACCTTAATCCTTCAACTGTGACCCTGTCTCAGACTTTCCATAGTCTTGACATTCTTGGAGATTTCTGGTCAGGTGTTTTGTAGAATATCCCTCAGTTTGGCTTTGTCTGCTGTCTTCTCATGAACAGACTGAAATTATAAATTTAAAGGAAGAATACAAGAGATGATGTGCCCTTCTTGTTACATCATATCAAAAGCAATGATATCAACATGACTTATTACTAGTGGTGTTAACCTTGATCACTTGTAAGGTTGACGCGATGTTTGCCAGGTTTTTCTTACTGTACCTTCTCCATATTGTTTGTTAGAAGCAAGTCATTAAGTCTAGCTCACACTCAAGGGGAAGGGGATTAAGCCTCTAAGAGGGAGATATAGCAAAGAATTTGTGGTAATCACCACAAAATCAATAAATTTAGAGGTAAGTTTTTTTAGACTATGCAAATATTCTATTTTCACTGACTTTTTAATATTCATGCATCAATCTTGCCTGAGCAATTATGACTGTGATTTTCTAATGATGATTTTCTATTTCCCTCAGCCCTTCTATATTAATTGAAATTCTAAAGGGAATGTTTATCCCCTCTTCCCCACTTATTTATATATTGAGTCATTCACATATCAGTATGGACTCATGAATATCTATTTTACTGTTTGGGAGCCTGTTGCATTTTATTACTTAAACTTCATAGTATGTATATTTCAATGCAACTTTTTTGGCCACTATTTATAAAGGAAAAATATATATCACAAAAATTCAGTATAGCATTTTTAATTGAGATATAATTCATTTTCACCTTTTTTTTTTTTTTTTTCTGGCTACACTGCACAGCATGCGGGATCTTAGTTCCCTGACCAGGGATCAAACCCGTTCCCCCTTCCCCGGAGCCTTAAGCACTGGACTAGTGGTGTTAGGGGAGTCCTGTTTTTCACCCTATAATTCAGTGGTTTTTAGTATATTCCAACACTGCAACTATCACTGTTAATTCCAGAACATTTTTATTACCTCCAAAGAAACATTGTACCGAATCACCCCCCTCTCACCCCTTCCTCCAGCCACTGGCAATTGCTAATCTACTTTTCATCTCTATGGATTTGCCTATTCAAGACATTTTATATAAATGGAATCATACAATATGTGGCCTTTTGTGTGGCTTTCACTTAGCATGTTTTCAAGGTTTATCCATTTTGTAGCATGTATCAATACTTTATTCCATTTTATAATAATACAATATAACAATAAATAATACAATAATATTCCATTGTATAGATACACCATATTGTGTTCATCCATTCATCAATTGATAGAAATTCTGGTTGTTTCCACTTTTTGGCTATTATTATGTTGCTATCAACAGTCAACGTACAAGTTTTTGTGTAAACATTTCTTTTCAATTCTCTTTACATACCTAAGATCAGGATTAGTAGGTCTCACGGTAACTATATGTTTTAACTATTTGAGGAACTGCCAAAGTATTCTCCAAAGAAGCTGAGCCATTTTACATTCTCACCAGTAACATGAGAGGTTTCTAATTCGTCCACATTTTCACCACTACTTGTTATTTTTGGTCTTTTTAATTGCAGCCCTGCTAGTGTTTGTCAAGTGGTATCTTGTGATTTTGATTTGTTTCTTTAATATTTAATGATGTTGAACATCTTTTCATGTGCTTATTATTGGACATTTGTATTTCTTTGGAGAAATTTCTATTCAGATTCTTTGGTTGGTTTTTAACTGGGTTATTTATCTTTTTGTAAATAAATTTATTATTTATTTATTTTTTTGGCTGCGTTGGGTCTTTGTTGCTGCGCGTGGGCTTTCTCTAGTTGTAGCGAGCGGGGGCTACTCTTCGTTGCAGTACACGGGCTTCTCATTGTGGTGGCTTCTCGTTGCGGAGCACGGGCTCTAGGCACACGGGCTTCAGTAGTTGTGGTACATTGGCTCAGTAGTTGTGGCTCGTGGGCTCTAGAGTGCAGGCTCAGTACTTGTGGCGCACAGGCTTAGTTGCTCCGCGGCATGTGGGATCTTCCCGGACCGGGGCTCAAACCCATGTCCCGTGCATTGGCAGGTGGATTCTTAACCACTGCGCCATCAGGGAAGCCCCTATTTATCTTTTTATTGTTGAATTGTAAGAGTTCTTTATATATTCTGGATACTGGATCCTCATCATGTTATGATTTGCAAATATTTTCTCCCATTCTATAGGTTGTCTTTTCACTTTCTTGATAGTGTCCTTTTTTTTTCTTCCCCTAATAGATCTGTTTATTTATAATTAATTAATTATTTTTTTGGCTGCATTGGGTCTTCGTTGTGGCACGTGGAGTATTTTGTTGCATCATGTGGCCTCTTTGTTTCAGCGCACGGGCTTCTCTCTAGTTGTGGTGTGCAGGTTTTCTCTCTCTAGTTGTGGCACACTGGTTCCAGAGTGCGTGGGCTCTGTAGTTTGCAGCACGTGGGCTCTCCAGTTGAGGAGCATGGGCTCAGTAGTTGTGGCACGCGGGCTTAGTTGCCCTGCAGCCCGTGGGATCTTAGTTCCCCGACCAAGGTTCGAACCCGTGTCCCCTGCATTGGAAGGTGGATTCTTTACCACTGGACCACCAGGGAAGTCCCGATAGTGTCCTTTGATTAACAAAAGTTTCAAATTTTGATGAACACTATTATTTTCTTTGGTTGATTGTGCTGTTGGTGTCATAGCTCAGAAACTATTGCCTAATCCAAGGTCACAAGATTTCCATCTGTGTTTTCTAAAAGTTTTATAGTTTTAGCTCTTACATTTAAGTCTTTGACACACTTTGAGTTAATTTTTGCATATAGTGTGAGGTAGTATTCCAAATTGATTACTTTGCATGTGGATATCCAAGTTGTCTTGACACCATTTATTGAAAAAACTATTCTTTCCCCCTTTTAGTAGTCCTGGCATCCTCGTTGAAAATCAGTTGACCATAGATACATGTATTTATTTCACAACTCTCCAATTTTATTGATCTATATATCATCTTTATGCCAGTACCACACTTTCTTGATTACTACAGCTTTGTAGTAAGTTTTGAAATCAGAAAGTGTGAGTCCTCCAACTTTTTCAAGATTGTTTTGGCTATTCAAGATCACTTTGCAATCTCATATGAATTTTAGGTTTGTCTTGTTCACTTGAGCAAAAAGGCTGTTGGAATTTTGACCAGAATTGCGCTGAATCTGTAGATCACTTTGGGGAGTATTGCCATCTTAGATATATTAAATTTTCCAATCCATGAACACAGTGTACTTCCACCTATTTGGGTCTTCTTAAATTTCTTTCAATAATGTATTGTCATTTTCAGTGTACAAGTTTTGTGATTTAAATCTACTCCTAATTTTTTTTGATGCTATTATAAAGGGATTTTAATTTCCTTTTCAGACTATTCATTGCTAGTGTATAGAAATACAACTGATTTTTGTATATTGATCTTGTATCCCACAACCTTGTTGAACTTATTCTCTCTAATTTCCTTTTGTATGTATTGTTTAGGGCTTTATATATATATTAGATCATGTAATCTAATATGTATGTATTAGATCATGTAATCTAATATATATATATTACATCATGTAATCTAATCTATATATATATTACATCATGTAATCTAATCTATATATATCTTAGATCATGTAATCTGCCAATATAGTTTTTCCTCTTCCTTTTCAATATGGATGCCTTTTCCGCTCTATTCCTTATCTAATTACTGTGCCCAGAATCCAGTACAATGCTGAATGGAAGTGGTGAGAGCAGATATCCTGGTCTTGTTCCTGATCTTTGGGGAAAAACTTTCAGTCTTTTTGCGGTTTTTCATAGACATCCTTTATTAGGTTGAAGAAGGTCCTTTCCATTCTTAGTTTGTTGAATGTTTATCGTGAAAGGGTGTTGAATTTTGCCAATTGCTTTTTCTGCATCTAATGAGATGGTCATGTGACTTTTGCCCTACATTTGGCAAAAGTCACAACCATCAATTTTGGTTGATTTTCGTATGTTGAACCAACCTTGCATTTCTGCAATAAATCTCATTTGGTCATGCTGTATAATCCTTTTTTATGGTTTGCTGGTTTAGGCTTGATAGTATTTTATTTTTGTATCTACATTCTTTTTTTTTGCTGAGCTGGGTCTTCATTGCAGCATGTGGGCTCTTCATTGTGGGCTTCTCTCTCTAGTTGCAGCATGCGGGCTTCTCTAGTTGTGGCGCACGAGCTCCAGAGTGCGTGGGCTCAGTAGTTGCGGCGTTCAGGCTCTCTAGTTGTGGCACGCAGGTTTAGTTGCCCCGCAGCATGCGGGATCTTAGTTCCTCACCCAGGGATCGAACCCATGTCCCCTGCATTGGAAGGTGGATTCTTGACTACTCCATCACCGGGGAAGTCCCTGTATCTACATTCTTTTTTTTTTTTTTAATAAATGTATTTATTTTTGGCTGTGTTGGGCCTTCATTGCTGCACGCGGGCTTTCTCTAGTTGTGGCGAGCAGGGGCTGCTCTTCATTGTAGTGTGCAGGCTTCTCATGGCAGTGGCTTCTTGTTGCGAAGCATGGGCTCTAGGCGCATGGGCTTCAGTAGTTGCGGCACACGGGCTCAGCAGTTGTGGCTCACGGGCTTAGTTGCCCTGCAGCGTATGGGATCTTCCTGGACCAGGGCTTAAACCTGTGACTCCTGCATTGGCAGGTGGATTATTAACCACTGCACCTGTATCTACATTCTTACAGGATACTGGTCTATAATTTTCTTGTGATATCTTTATCTGGGTTTAGTTTTAATACTGCCTTATAAATGAGTTGGGAAGTATTCCCTTCTCTTACATTTTTTTGAAGTGTATAGTCTAGTTTTAACAGCAGCATACTATTTCAATGAGAGAATATATTTAACTAGTTCCTTATTTATGGGTTTTTTTGCATATGACAATTCTGCAGTGACATCATCTATGTAAACATGTACATCTGTAATTTTTAGGTCAAAGGGTGTGTACATTTAAAATTTTTGATAGATATTGGTAATCTGGTCTCTAAAAAGTTACAAACCATTGTCTTCATTTAAATAACCTTCATTGTTACTAAGGAAGTATGTTGTATGTGTGTGTTTATCTGTGTTGCATGTGTTTACAAATAGTCAAGAAGTCTCTGGATCTGTTTTAGACTTTAGTACTTCTTAGATGGAGTGGGGCACATTAAATCATTCTCCTTCTCTCCCTTCCTCCCTGAGATATATTTAGGCTTAGTGACAGTCCTCCAAGTGCTACCCAAAATTGTGGACATCTGCTGAGACCTAGGATGCTAAGTGGTGGGAGGCCTGGTCTGCAGGTGGTAAACAGGGGAAAAAGGCAAGTGAGAAGATTTATATGGGAAACAATTCAGTCTTTGCTGCCTCTACCCTTCCTATACTACTACCCAGCAAACTCCAGTTTGCAGAAAAACTGTATTAAATGGAGAAAAACATTAACCTCCATTAGTCTCCCTCAATGCACAGAGGCTATTCTGCTGTGAAAGAACAGAACAGGATCCAGAGTAACCTGCAGCTAGCTGTGGCATATGCAGAGAAGCTGTATTTTCTGTCCTGGAAATAAAGATACACTAACATCAGAAGAAATATGTGCTTGCAGAAGTAAAGCCCGAAGAAGCCAGTGGAAGATTTGTACTCTTTATTACAGAAAATATGAGAAAATCGAAAGTACAACGTTGCCTGTTTTCTTGCTTGAAGATCATATTTTCTCTGGTTTGTTTAATATCAACATTCACCACAGCTGCAGGAAATTAAATCGAACCTTTAGAAGGTATCGCATATGGACCTGGTTGGGGTTATAGACAATAAATTCGTTGTAGTTGAGGGTATAACCCTCTGGATTCAGGACTCCTGTGTCACTTGCTGGTCCTAAGGGCACTGTACTCCCATTCCTGCCAAATGGAAGAATGTGTGTCAACATCTGCCTCTGGTTCAGAAGTTTGAATAGAGAAAGCAGAGAGTCTTATCTGGCCAAAAGGAGTTTTCTGACCCTCCAGGCTCTGAGTACTTACAAGGTGATGGCGCACGTAGGACTGGGAGCCATCTTGCCTAGCCCCTTGGTGCTGTGTTTGCCCTGAAGTAATCCTTCTGCCTCTGGATTGGCCCCTAGTAGCTCATTACACTGACCTAGAGCTACCTGCAAAGAAAAGGATCTTTAAATGACCACA